ACAGTATAAGCTATTTACGCTGAGTATCTGAGTAATCGGGGTTATTATGGCTGGGTCTACTGTACAGTGTACAGTGTACAGTGTATAGTACGGACAGACATCCTGGACAGTACAGTACCTACTTTATTATTGTTGACTTAACAATATTGAGACTATTGTACCAGACTACCAGTGTACTGTATGTACACTGTATAGTACGGACAGACATTAAGGACAGTACTGTACATTACCTACTTTATTGTTGAATTAACAATATTGAGACTACCATTCCTTGATTGCACTACTGTACAGTACAGTACAGTACAGTACAGTATAACTGTACAACTGTAGGGTACAGTATACTGTACTGCATCGTCGCAAGGAGATTGACGTTCCATCGGTTGTCACATCTTCACATCATCGTCATAACAGAGCCAGTGGCATCACTCTCTCTTGCTCACGGGTCCCTGGATCAACCCACTGCGATACTGTGTCGTTATTTTCGTCAAGCACTTCTTTGGCTTTTAACTTGTTTGGCGATCCAATAAGATACTATCCTCGCTATTCCGCCATCCAACGGTACTCTCAATTCGCTAATTGATAATAATAATACAAAGTCATTAACAGAGTAATCATCTTGACAAAACTGTCTACCAATATAACACTAAGCTTAGCTCGAAATGGATACTTGCCATTTGGTAATCAACTATCGTATCGCCATTGATTCGACTCACACCAGTACGTGATGGTAAAGGTCACGTCGTTTCATGTCTAGGCATGTACTATCATTTCTGTCACTGTTTTAGTGCTTCACCTACTGCAGCGCATCACTTGATCTATGGCTGACTTGTAGTGAAAAATGACTCCCTACTAAAGCACGTATGCTTGCTAGGATTGAACTGCAGGCATGGACCTCTTGAATGGCGATCTTCCTAAGCTGCATTGGGATTCTAATTGCTTCTTGTTGAACCTGACAAGGTTGTAGTTCTTTTAGCAAATAGAAATTGACATTGATTGGACTGCAGTAATGTCCTGTACCTCTTCAATAGTCGGCTTCCTAAGCTGCATTTGAATCCCAATCGCTCCTTAGTATTGAACACGACAATAATGTAGTTATTCATAAAATGGAGATTTACATGGTCTCTAGACCTTATCCTAGGCTGGTCAGGAATACGATAGAAGTACCACAAACAAAGTTATAATGCAATAATAATAATGCGTAAATCGACATGATTACAGCATGTTGTTTGGCTGTCATCATTGCAATTTCTCATGTATTTGCTACGGATGAGTTTGCAATGATGGCTAAAAGACTGCACAGTACACAGTGCTGTATTTCCATGCAAGCCATCTCATCACCTTTTACTAATAGTAGCCGGGCTGTGTGAATGAAATCGACATCATATTACATGATAGCAACATCACCGTTGAGTAGAATAGCGTCCTATGGACTACTGATGAGATTGCCACCATGTCTTCATACGATACAAGTGACAAACAAGAAACGAAATCTTGGGTTTGTTAGCATGTGCCTTGCCTACTAGATAGGATATCTCCGTGCAAGCTATCTCACTCATACACGTATCATCTTGATCAGCCACGCTCTGTCGATAGAGTGGACGTTATACGTGCTAGCAACATGATTATTGAGTAGAATAGTTTCATAGATGATTTCATATTGATCACTGATGAGTTTGCAATAATGTCTTAATACAAGTACAGTAACAACAAATAAAGTCTTGAGTATGTTAACAGAAAAGACACCTTGCCTATTTGATTCGGGTATTTCCATGCAAACAATCTCACCCATATCATCACCTTTTATAAATGGTAGCTGCGCTCTGTGAATGAAATCAACGCCATATATGGTAGTAGCATGACTGCTTCGTAGAATAGTCTCATAGTTGCTAGTGACGAGATTGCAATAATGCATTAATACTTCCAAGTAACAAGAATCGAAATCTTGGGCATGTTAGCAGCATAGAAGTCTCGCCTATTTACCAGTGAGGGTATTTCCATGCAAACCATCCCACCTACATCATCGCCTTTAATTAATAGCAGCTACGCAGTGAATGATATCGATATCATACATGATAACCACATAACTGTTGACTCAAATAGTTTCATGTTTGTCATGATGGCTAAATACTGTACAAGTACCCAAAATCAAGTTATCGCATACTAGTAGCATAGAAGTGTGGTCTATTGCCTATTTGATCAATGCAAGCTATCTCGCCCGTTGTACCACCATTTATTAATAGCAGCTGCACTCTGTAAATAAACCTGTATCATGCAGTTACTTAATAGCACATGACCGTTGAGTAGAATAGTATCGAATTTACGATTGATGAGTTTGCAATGATGGTTAAATACTGTACGAGTACCAAAAACCAAATCTTGGTTTGTTAGTAGTATAGAATTGTGGTATACACGTATCATCATCCTTTATTAATAGCAGCTGCACTCTGTGAATAAATCGACGTCATAGATGATTGTGCCATAACCGTTTAGTACAGTACAGTAATTTAATGCTGTATATGGTATATTCTCGTATATTAATGCTTTATATTTACTGGTAGATACCTCTAGAAATAAGCGTACAACGGCAATGAGTTTTTCAAATTCGGGGTAAGATTGATATTTTTAATCGCACTCAGTTTTAAAATCGACAAGTTTTACTTGTTTCGTAATTTAAGTAGACATGTTTTAGTGGCTGTTAACACATATCAATCTATAGTCTATATTAACGCTAAGTTCTCAACAAATACGATCATGACCGTAAGCTATGTTGTCATACTTTTCTGTACACTTTACTTTATTAACCAAAGCATATCTTGTTGTTTCCTTACTATCACGATATGCAGGAAGTTTTACAGTTTGATATCTCTATTTCAGAACAACGATACATAGGTAAAATTACTGTTTATTAGACCGCGCTGTTATGTATAGTTTGTTGCTAGAATATCAGATAGATCTCTACTTCATGAGTTATAGCACAATGCTATCGTAACTCGCTATAAAATGCACCTTACTTAGAGATAAGCAAAGACTACTGTATATAAGCTTAGTAAGTGTTTAATTTGGAGAGTATTGCTAGCATACAAAATGATACGTTGCAGATAGTTAATACAAGTTATATCACGCATAGTTAATAGATAAACTTACGAATTTACTTCAATAACTTAACGTTGGATTAGTCGCTTCCTACGTGACTGTAGTCTGACATACTTTAGGATTGCATATAATAATGATAAGTATTTGGTGATTTTTTATCATTGACATTATTGTTATACGCCCGTAGTCATTTTTTAATGCTATCTACCTTTACATAAAGTGGAAACCGATCACTGAAATCTGGCACACCACCAATTACTCAATATTTTCCAGTAAATGATCGTAAATCTGCTTCAGGGTATGTCAATCCGCTGTCGGATGTAGTTTATTTTAACCTACTACCGTGTGACTTTAAGAATAACACTAATATTTTAATCTTCTGTTCAGGTTTTTAATATAAAATGATAGCTGTTAATTGATTAAGCGTTACTAATAACGATACTCCAACTTATCATACGTGAGAGCATAAAAGATTAAACTGTTATTTCTATACTAAATTTATTATAACAAAACAAGCTCGAATCAAGAAGATCGGAAATCTTATTCACATGAAGGGTAAGTGTGCTACGTTTATCGTAGATGCGTTAAATTAAATTGCAAATCTTCTTAAACTTCTTGCATTTAAGAACATTCTATGTGTATACTGTTCTTATTTATAATGCATGAGTTTGCTATACACTACATCATTTTACTAAAACATTATGACAGAGATAGCTATTCAAGCGGCGCTAGCAATGCTAGTTATGGGGAAGATTTGAACGACAATGCATGCAGCACTTTATCATACGACGGAAATGAAAGCGTTAATATTGACGAAGAATGTCATCAATTGGTAAAGTTGGATTGCTACGTATATGCAATGGATATATTGCAATCTTTTCTATTATAATTTAAAACTAGTCGAACCCTCGCTTGTGATATTTCGCAAGCTGTTTTTGTAGGTTTTACTTTATTATGATGATATACTACTATGATAGAACAATGATCTCTAATGAAATGATTAAAAGATATAAACTGATCCTACTTTATTTCTTAATTACAGGGAGATGACAAGGAACAGTTTCCGCTCATAATCGATGGTAGCTACACATTAAGTGGTAAAAGCCACTGTTACTTATTTAATGTGAGTTTTAACTTTAATTATACTATAGTATTATAAGAGTTATATCATTGATTGATTAACAATGCTGTCTTCGTCATGTATAGACGCGAGAGTTTCAGCGTAGTAAGAGATTTATTCCATATCCTCCCAATTTAAATAAAAGGTTAGATCCTTTTAGCTCTACTGTAAGATAATATACCTGTAAAGTTTAACTATAGCAAGGATGTTTAAAAACTTCTTTAATTAATTTAATTATTTAAAATTGAAACGAATATATGGCTGCAGGTATGCGAAATTTGATGTAAAAATGCCGTACTCTTACTACCTCAATTGTGACACCAAGGCTAAGGATAAATTGGTTAGATGTAAAAAAACTCTGGCTTTTAATTTACTGACTAATTTATTATCATTTATCTGAAATATAAAACTAACAGTGATACCGATTCACGGCTAGGCAACTAATTTATGGGATTTAATTGAAAAATCGCTACGGAGCTGCCAGATAAGAGATTCTTATGAATTACAGGTAATGAAGCTTTTACCTATGTAACTGAATATTGGTGATGTCCGGCTACAAATGGAATATTTTAGATGTGATATGTAAATCAATAATAATAGAACGAATTCCGGAATGACTTATATTCTTTTTAAGTAGATAAATTTAACAACTTTGAGTGCTGACGTATTTTGTCAATTTTCTGTAACTACATTTTTATGTTTTTGATTGCTAATAATTAAAAGGTCTACATTTTTAAAGATTCTGATACATGTTTAACATGGTATGTCATAAAACTTGTCCATTAAACTTTTTAATGTGCTGCATACTCGTGTGTTAAAGGAGGCAATTTTATCCTACAATGAACAGTATCGCGATTATTGGTCTTTTGATGGATTGCACGCATACTTTCAAGCGGTACCTAATTTATTGCATTGTTTAAGCTAAAATATTGCAATTTAAATCTTATTTAAATCTTACCGGATCTATAACATACACAAATAACACTGTAACTGTTACTCTCGGATAGATCGGTCCTTCGGAATCATATGACTTCTTTTACCAAACTTTACCGAAGATGATTGATCTTGCACTTAGACTACCGAAATTAATAACTAAGGTTTTCTATTATTGTAAGCTTAAATTACATGAGGCAAATTTGCACTATAATTAGTTTTTTATTTTTCTACAGTCTATCCCTTTACTGCGTCAGGGCTATAGAGGCAGTGTTACCATGAGTCAAGAACAAGCAGCATGCATCTTGGCTAACGCATTCTTTTGTACTTTTCCTGAAAGAAGTGGCTCGTTCACCAAAGGTTCGCACGACTTTGGTTACCCTGCTTTCAACTTCAATAGGTATACTAAAAAAAGATATCATCTTAGTTTTATTGCATAAATTTACCACTTACAAGTACAGATTCTGAATTTTATTTAATTGGTATAGTAATCAATATCTAATCAGCATAACCTTGATTTATTTTGGTTATGTAGCCTATTCGAGATCAAATCCAATAGAGTCTTACAAAAACTGCAATGTCTTGTTCACTATTTTGGACGTGTAACTAAAACAAGTAAGCTAAAGCCAAGTTCCGGTTGAATATTGTACATTGAAGATGTTAAACGGATAATAAAATTGCTTTTAGTGCCGAGAGGAATCATCACCTATGAACGGCGACAAGTCTATGATATTGACAAGGCGATTGAAAGGTTAACGGCTAGAATATGTTGCTTTATAAGTTTCGTAGACCTTTGTTATGATATATCACTAAATTATAACTTTCCTTACAGCTCAAGAAGTCAGTTTTGTAAAATTTGCGTTGATAGTTCTGGGCTAATTGAAGATGCAACGGGAATGTCCCAGGTAGCTAAGTCATAAAATGTCGATATTGCTTTTGTGCTCTGAGTAATTTTCGATCAGGTAACGACTATAAAATTTTTTCTTTAGATTGATTTTGCTAATAAAAGAATTGGTGGTGGAGTACTTAGATCTGTTAGTAATTTAAAAGTGATAATTTTAGATGCTGGTATATAAATTTCTATGTATTATGCATATTGAAGACAATATTCTTTTTGTAGGGATGTGTTCAAGAGGAAATACTATTTCTAATAAGTCCAGAATTAATCGTATCGTTACTGATAACTCAAGTTTTAGATGATAATGAATGTTTAATAATTAGAGGTTAGAGGTTATTATCAATATTAATGTTAACGTAGATGATGATGTAACATTTTTGCGGTAGAGATTATACTCACAATAGGTGGTATCTCATGGCAGATGATATCATTGACAATTTCTTTTACAGGATCAGAACGCTTTAGCCATTATTCTGGATATTCTAATTCTTTCAGATGGACTGGAAATTATGTTGATAAGACACCTAGGTAATCGGTCCTATATAATTTACTGTTTGACTTAAATTTAATAATTTTTTTAGTTCTCAATTTTACTGTTATATTTTTGTAGAGATAGCGAAGGAAAATTGTACTCTGAAGTTGTAGCAATTGATGCTTTGGTATTTTCAAGCTTTCGAGCTCAACTTAAGCAAGCTTCTCTGCGCCGTGAATTTATGAAGGTGAATAATACAAAATATTTGCAATTTAAGAGAGTCGATAATTACAAGATGCATGTTTAAAATCCACAGGCATATTGTGGATTTAATTTACCAAGGTCCTATAGTGGCCCTAAATACGCCATTGCTACTGGCAATTGGGGATGTGGTGCTTTTGGGGGTGACAAATTACTGAAAGGCTTGTATCAATTGTCAATTTAACTCTATTTTTTCACATTAAATAATTTTCCATATCTGAAATTGTAACTATCGTTTGATAAAAGTTCTAAGTACAGTAATTAACTACCTCATATAGGCTTAATCCAAATGATGGCAGCGGCAGAAGCTGGGAGACCTGTTTGTTACTATACCTTCGGTGATAAGGTCAAATTTGTTGAACTGAAAATATGGAAAAATATAAGAACTAGCTAATTTACAGAAGCACAATTATCTGTTTATTCTATAGGAATTGATGGAGAAAATTGTAAAACTAAATCGATTTCTCCGTAATAACCGAATTACAGTGGGTAAGTCCAGGAATTTTATTTTTTGTTAATCGCATAACTTTGAAGAATCGATAAATGTGATGTTACTATTTTTATGATCAATTACTACGTCAACATAATAAAATGCAGGTTTAATGTGGCAAGGATTGCTGAGGTATGCACAGTCAGCTAGTCAACCTAGTTCCAATGATCTACTAGCATTTATCCATAAGAGTGGCTACGCTGGTAGAAAGCAGGATGAAAGTATTGATAGTGAAACCCTATGAAGCTGAAACTGCAATTATTAGCGGATAAAGGAAAGTTCATATATGTAATTAGTAGTTTTTTGATAAAATCTATTTTGTAATGTGCCATCAAAAAGAATATTTAACTTAACTCATATGATGAAATTGGTAAAGTTGTATATTTATAAACAGATCGAGTGCCTAACATCTACTAATAGATTTAAATTTGTACAGCTCAACATTTGGTAGAATTGTTTTAAAAAATAATATTACTCATTTCACGATAGGAAAGACTATTGTTATGACGACATTGATATGCCTTTAATTGGTAATAGTATTTTTTAAAATTGCTAATACGCGTATTCCAGTTGATGAAGTAAACTAAATGAATTACTATATGAAATCATCATACTAAAGCATTGTAATATCAAAACTTTTGTTGTACATATTGCAGTATTGCCCCTGATAACTAGCCGAATACACCAATTAAGTATGCAGTATATTTTTATACTATAGTTGAATGCTTTCTGATGTAATTCTTGCTTTAAGAACCATGATGGCTTCAAAGAACTTTTGATCAGCCTGACTCTATGTCTAACTAAAGCTCTAAATGTTCATTGTATTTAACTTAGTGTTATTCTGTAAGCATTAATTAATAATAATTAATTGATGGGTAATTTCGAGATTAAGAACTAGATAATTATTTAATATTTTATACAGCAGTAGAGTAGCAGAAGGATCTGCAACAGTAACTTGTGACATACAGCGACATTTACTATAAATGAGAGAACTAATCGATCATTCACCACTTATTACATCAGTAAATCTATCAAATCAGTGAAACATTAATTACGTTGATTGTTATCACTCAATGCCAAATTATTGCATGTGATGAACTAAGACACGGATATTGGTATTGAGGGTTTTCACTAACTTTACTAGCTATAAGCCTATAAGTGTAATTAGAATTTAATTATGTTGATGTTTAAGAATCCGATTACCTGTTGGTATTTTATCAGGTTAGTGCAATACCAGGGTCTTCTAAGAGAGAAGTCCCTGGTAAAATACCTACGATGTGCATTACGACCACTATTCTCCTACAGTACTTAAAGGGTACAAGGAATGACAATGGCAATAATGTTCTATAATTTACATAATAGCAAGTTGTAAAAAGAAGTTAACGCAGTTTTTTTATTATTTGATCTGTACATTAGATCACAAAGAGAAAAATTATATATACATGCTGTAGCCGGAGCTACTATTAATGTATCCATACTTATTATAAATTATAATTATATAATAGGCAATCGTTTATACTTGATTAAATATAAAGTAATCATTTAACGAGGATACTATAACGAATAGAATAATAAGTATATCATGGAAATAAAAGTTTTTAAAAATATATAAGCTACTGAGAGTTGACTTTACTGAAATCTATATGATGTCTCCCTGTTGTCTTCTTAATATATATATATAAGTCAAAAAGTGCTATTATGAGCAAGCAACAGTTATTATCAATATTGACAACTTTCAATTAATTCTTGAATCCAATAAGTAATCATATTGCAATGAAAATTTTTTTACTAATAAATATAAATTATGCTATAAAACAACAATATTAAGTTATTTCCCATCCTATTCTTCATCACAATATGAAATCGTAATTAACTAGTGAAATGTTCAGAGTTCGATATGAGCATGATTAATACGGTCATTCCTTCGATGCGTAGAATCAGTTCAGAAAGACTACCTTGTACATGAACATGGCTGTTGTTGGTCAATATTATTGTGTGGAGCTTGCTACGGTGTAAAAAAATCATTTTAGGTAGGGACTTGTGTAGTCGACGTGACTTTCATTTTACCAGCATAGCCTTGTTAGTGTTGGCCATATAGGTTTTCATTTTTAGATAGTAAATACCATGCTCAGCGAGTGTCTTCCGCATTAGTTCAATTTCAACATTAGGCCTATTAAATCTATTGGGGCGACGATCGTAGCGATCATATACTTTAAATCTTTTATCGTGCTTTGGTTTTATTTTAACTTTATCAGCTAATATGCCAACAAAAGCATCGTCTACTGAATCGATGATTGGAGTCGTCTTGACAACACTGACCATGCTGCTTAAAGCATCACCCGTCATAACATAGGCAAAACCAGAGCAAAAATAAGGAAATAACTTTTGACGATATTTACTATAAGGTACGTAATAGCGATGCCTTTTATTACGTACAGGCCTACGGCTTATAGGATGGATATGAGCACGGCATATCCATTCTTTCTTAATGTTATTGCGAACATAACCTTCAGCGATCTGATAAAGTAAATAAGGATTGACAAAGACATCATCGTCACCTTTATAATAAATTGCAGGAGAGCAAAAATGTTTAGCCCATTGCATCGCCATGACTGTTTTCAAAGTTAACGATTTCATTGAATCGGTAAAATCTCCAATAATTAAATCACCATATTGCTTGGCTTCTGCTTCTGTCTTCTTATTGATATCAGCGGTGTTGGAACGACCAACGATAAAGACTAATTTCCATTTTAGTGGTGGAGCAGCTTTGGTTGTTTTTGCCTTTTCATTGAAATGGTCAATATTTTTGGCATCTCCCCACGATTGTCGTATCGCTAAGCGGCGTCCAGCATGTTCCACTTTGGAATTGATAACTAATAATAGATAATTCTTTGATTCACATGCCGTCGGCGATGCTATCATAGGCGCCAGGAAAGATACATTATTTAGAGTAGCTTCTGATTTTAATTTGTCAATGACAACACTGGAGAAATTGCTGGTTATATCAATAAATTCATCATTATCTTGATCGGAAGAATAATTCTTATGGAATGATACATTAATTTGGTGTACTTTATACTTATGAGCATCTTTTTTAACAATGACATGATAAATCATTAGAACTTGTCCAACAATGAGTGAGGCAATGACTAAATAAGCAATTCGGCGCAAAGTACAGTTACAATTTGTCAAAGAAGCCATCCTCTGGTAATTTGAATGAGATCGTTACTGTCAGGAGAGAAAGATGAAGAAAGAGTGAGAGATAGAACAAAAAAGACAAATTTTTCAATCAATTGATTTCTAAAAATTCAGTAGTATTGGATTGAAATGCAGTGATCGTATCTGCCATGGGCTACTTGTAGAAACGCATATATACGTCTACGTGGGTCTCCCTTTATCGTGCTACTCCATACTGAGGACTCATGATAATCTTTACAAATTGAATATCCCCCGTCCATGGATAATGATGGCGATAATTATGTTGTTAAATTATTATTGAACTTACATCAATCGTAACCAAATAGGTTGGCCAAAACCAATGACAATTATAATTACTGTAGCAATTAATTGTAGGCTATTTCTAGCCGTAAAGTCAACGTAATAGAGTGAAGTATTGGGCATAAAGTACTTAGTTAAGTCATATCAATGCCAACCGTGGATATACCACACCACCAGCCATAGCCCATTGTCAGGATTAGGGATATCGAATGTTCATCATCCTTCTTCATACGATGAAAGATGGCCTAAAGTGTTAATCAATGTTTTGTATTGTAATGAGTGTATATCTAGTGCAATGGTGAATAAAAAGAAGGAAAAGTAAAATGACCAAGGCAACAACGGTTATCAACAAGATATTTTGCGGCGTATATAGGCCTCGATCTACCGTCCAGATCGATCGATGCTTTAATAAGAAAACACCCAACCAATGCCTTTCGTGGACATGATATTTGCAACTATTATAGCCATCGTCGACACTAGGGTTTCCATGGATAACCTTCAAATTGGACTCATCCTCCGTTACGGTTCAGAACGGTTGGGCACTTTTGGACCCAAGAAATGGCTTTGAATAATGAAGACTATATCTGCTATTGAGTCTCTATCACCAGTTACTTGCCATACAGACTCATAGTACTGTACGATAGAGTTATGCCATTTGTTAGCGTCGAAGTTTTACAGAGTGTACAGTTCAGTGATGGTGGTGCTACAGTACTGTGCACTGTACTACCTACACTGTACACTGTACTCGAACAATACACCGCGCGCACCGGCATGGCCCAGAATAATAGTCGAGGACTAAATGGAGATAGATTTACTATATATGGCGATGGACCTGTCGCGGTATCTACAAGTATATCCAATGCTCCATACAATCCTATTGTTGATTATTGAATGGCTTTTGAGTTAGTTTTACCCTTTTCGGGCTTACGGCTACGTTTTAAAAGACCCATAGCTGTCATTGACAGAACCGTTCTGGCCAAATAGCTGCAGACCTGGGACTGAACTGGACACTCCTTTGGACGGACAGACATTGGGCCAATTTTGGTCAACAAATGGTGTCCAACACTTCATTATGACAGTACAGTACAGTGTACATTACTTTAGTACGCAGACAGTCTGAATGATTTTTTCTAAATTAAGTAATATTACTGTCCATTGTATTCTATTGCCTGTTACTAAGCTCTACTTGGAAGCAGTAGCTGTAGATCATCAAGGTTATTTAAATTAAGACGACTGATTTCGAAAACAGATACGGAAGATCTCTACTGAGTTACTCCTTTTCCACATTTTCGGCTACAACTGGTATACAAAGTCCGTCTATCCGAGGACAGTGTCCAGTCCACACAGTCCACTATTTCTTGTGGTCAATGGGGAATGTTATCCTTATGTCTCGTCCTTCCGTCAACATCTTGTTTGGTATACAGTACACTAGGACAGTATGGTGCAAAATATTTGTCACCATAATACCAACCTGAAGGATTATGAGATGAGGGGTGGCATCATTTCGCCTCCAGATCGTTCTGTACCTCTAGGGTTATCCATCTATACGAGTTCAAAATGGTCGAGCTTTCTGCACACATCCTATTTCATTCGCTGCCAGGTTGGGTTGCGTAATGCGCCTTTGGCAGTCCATGCTTGCTTGCAACACTAAAGTGGACGTTGGTAGCAGCGACTCTGTCTCACAAGTCGCTGTTGCGTGCCTCTAAATCATACAGTATAGGATTCAAAATGGAGTTCACATCAATCCCTGTCTAGGATCCATGATTTCATTTCATAATCCCTGTCTAGGATAGGATCCATGATTTCATTTCATAGTCATTGACTGATTTGTTGAGATCCTCTACAGTACACTGTACTGTAGAATTACAGTACGGCGCACTGTATACTACAGTAGTGTACACTGTACGTCATGGTGAATAATTTGAGTACAAATCCATCAGCTGATCGGTGAGCAAGACTACAGTATGCCGTTAAGCGGATGTATCAGCTACAGTAGCAAAAGACTGCTTCATTGGCAAGCGCAACTGGTCTAGACTACTTTCCTTCTTCAATCTTGCATCCCATTCTGCAAGGAAGAACGCCATCAATATTATCAACTCTATTTCAGCGCAGTTTAAACAAGTTGATTACTGGTACAGTAGTAATTGGAGACTGTTTGAAGATCAATTTTGAGACTTATTCTTGCTGTAGCTCTTGACTATCATTACACACTATAGAAAGTAGGCATGGATAGTCATGACGAAGTGGTTCAACATGGCGATGATGACGATACCAACATAGATCAAGAGGAGGATACCTCCGATAGCTACGGTAGTAGTAGTAGTGATACGGATGATGAAGAAGAAGGAGCTTTAGCTCAACGTGTGGATCATTTACTAAGTTATGTATGTCGATAGCAATAGACGATAAAAATGATTCCATCTTGTATGCAATCGAAATGATGACTGCTACTATTGCAATAGTGGCAGTTATGAATTAGGTTGATACTACGCATAGACTGCCAATATCGGCAAAGACGATCATTTCATCGTTGCTGTTGTAGCCTTAGCAACAACAATTTCACCTTGTTCTACTGTTCAATTTTCTTTCTCTTATACATGCTATAGCTCCACAAGAATGAATTCCATTACGATTCCTACGTTGAACTCATCAATTTATTAAGACAGCAAGGTGATCTTGTACGATTACGATCAATCCGCAAGAAAATGAATCAACTATTTCCACTTACTGAAGGTAATACGATCAACAATAATCAGTGAAGGGCATTTCGTGCCAAATGCAACCGTTACAGTATATAGAAAGTGCTATTTGCCAATCTATAAACAATGTGCTTCCTTGGTACATAAAGTATTACGATCGAATGAATAGATATTAGATCTAGCAGTACGGTACAATTCGTAATTTTATCCCTATGCAAAATGAATACTAGAGGAATCTTTAGTGGTAGAACTGATATAACCAAATTCGCAACTCAAATATGCATCCATCACTTACACACGTATACCGCACAAGTTCTCGATTGGTAGAAATGTTGCAGTATGAAATGCTGCATACCTTCCTGACATCTACAGTAGTGTTACCCTTATAGGATTTTTTGGCTAGTGGAAATGTGGCCCTTTTCACTAACTACTGATTATACAGTATATTGAATAAATTGAGTAGTCATATTGAAAATTCAAATCTTATAATTTTAAATTCTATTTTATCATTTACTTCACATGTCTATTTAGGCAGACAATTGATTTCACTCTTGCCTTATTCATTGATAACTTGAAAATAGTTTAAAACAAATTTAGATAATTTAAATATATATTTGCAGATTTATGGATGCAATGGGTCTCCGATGAAGCAAATATCGCGCAAACAGAAGAAGAAAAAGCCGGTCTTGTCGAATTACTTGACAAATCTATAATTGATTACCTCTGTTCGTATCTTACAAAAGAATTTTTGTCACTTTTTTCTGTAATATAGTAATAAATACCAGCTTTTTCTATTATTTACTATTATGCTATCACCGTATGGTATGCATAATCAATCAATGCATACGAATAGTTAAGAAGAAAATTGAATCACTCTCCTTTCTTGCTTTTGCATTTTATAGCTGTTGGATTGTGGCAAAAGTACGCGTCATATTGTATAACGGAAAAAGTAGGCAATCATAATGATATCAGAAATATTTATGAACGAGCTCTTACTTCCGTTGGACTCCACTTAACTAAGGTACAATCACGATCAAATTCTATAAAAGCCCATAGTATGATAGATGACAATCTTTAAATGATAAGAAATCTGGTATGACGTTGCCACTCCAATTTTTTTCACTGAATTAATCATAGGGTTGTTATATTTGGGATGATTACCGAGAATATGAAATTAATATCTTAAATTCGATGACTGTAAGAACTGCAGCGATTGATGATAGCATGTTATGCTTCTTTCTTAATTAAGATACTGCATTTTGATCAAAGTACTACCTTGTGTTGAATAATTTGCTAGGAAACTGATGACTTGACCTCTATTGCGAAAGAATCGTATGTTCGTTATTTTTAAACGGATTAACTTATTAATATCGTACGCTAGTATTGTATTGAATTAAAGCACAGTTATACTTGCCCCTCTAAATGTAATTGAATATTGTATTAACGTGAAATTTTTATATGTGTATTAATTTTGAAAAGGCCATTGCATATCGTAGTAGACATGTTACTACCTTTTTAGAAATAATAACCATGATATATATATATATCATACTTACATTCCTGTATCTTTCGAAGCGTTACATTTCTCATTGCTATTTAATAGACTTGATCAGAAAGATAGGATTACTACCCTGTACAAAAGACAATTAGCAGTTCCTCTATTAGGTAACACTTAAGTATACCATCTGCAGATAAAAAATGGGTGTCCTTAATTAATACTGTAATAAGAACAGAATAAAATAAAATGATTATATTTAATAGGTATGCAGGGTACTTGGCGGGATTTCGAAAGTTGGATGGGCAAAGACTCCATAGATGAATATACCAAACAATTATATGAGCAAGCTGTAGAGAAACTTGACCAACGAATGCAATATGAAGATTCTTTGGTAAGAAATTAGATTTAAACTATATTCATATTATTTCAGGTGTATTTATTTGACTTTCTCTTATTAAAAATATCATTACTATAATTCTATGCTACAGCTATCGGTTGAATCAACATTAGACGGATATAAAAATTACATAGAATTTGAAAAAACAACCAACGAGCCTGCTAGAATTCAATGTCTCTACGAAAGAAGCTTACGAAATCATTGCCTTTCTCCAGAACTGTGGCAGAGCTACACGCAATATTTGGTAGATTTTATTCAACTTTGATATGATTGCATGTTCTAATTTATATTATTAAATTATGCCTGGACATTTAACAGTTTCGTAAGAACGTAAAATTTGTTCACATTATGCATAGCTGAAGTTATTAAAAGCATTATTTGTTCTCTTAGTAAACTATTCATTTCTTTCAATTTTTCTACTGTAGGATACGAAGTTGAAAGTGTGGAGTATTGCGGTACAAGTCTACGAAAGAGCTATCAGAAATTGCCCATGGGTAGCAGCTTTATGGCATGGATACCTGAGAGCACAAGTACTGTTACAATCACAGTACAATTGTCTTATTGATGTCGTTATTGCATCGTTTTTGCTATCATATACTTATCTTATGGATTAGATTGTTCAATTTCTGCTTTCTTATTATTGTCACTGTATTATAGGAGCGTGCAGGTGGACCTATCGAAAAAATGCGAGGTTACAATTCTAGTAGACTTGTTAATATATTTAACGTTAATAGTAACTTTCCAGTAAATATTTGTTAACTATTTATCATTGGTATTTCCTTATATGAATTATTTAGATACGGTAACCACAGCTCTTAACTGCAATCTCGGTAGTATGGAAAATGATTTATCGTTATGGCTTATATATATTGATCGTTTGCGAAGAAATATCAAACCTGGTGGAGGTAACTAATAATACTCAGTTTTATTTAGGACGTAAAATTTTTATTTGTCTCTGATCATTATCTTACAATAATTATACGTATTTTAGAAGACAGTGAGGAAATAACGCTTTTAAGAGATACTTTTCAGGCTGCATTGAACCATATATGTAAGTTACCTTTTCATATTATTCACTGACGGTTACGCTGAATTTATGCAACTAGCTAACAACATACGTATGTCTAACCCACACAGATAATAGATACGAAACTGTAGAGTCTATTGATTATTTACAAAAATATTGGGCTAAAATTGAGGTTAGCTTGCTGTTAAAATAAACTTGCACTTCGAGTAATTATATTGACGCAAGAACTTAAAAAGTAGTACAACTTTTCGTTGAACAGGCTCGACATTTCAATAATATTGAAAAATGTCGTCAATTACGTGAAGAATTATTAAATATTGGTCATAAAAGACAAGCGTCATACTGGATTGAATACATTGAACTCGAAAGGTTGAAATGCATAACTGATGTTATTATAGGTTTACTTTTGCTAAATTATTCGTCTAACTAATAGTAGCTTCCTTGTAAATATAATATAATAGGGCATACGGTGATATTCAAAACTGTCAAAAATTATTCTCCCGTGCAATCCGAGCAGTTAATGACGACCCTGAAGGAATATGCCAAGCTTGGCTTGATTTTGAAAGAGAAGAAGGTAATTTGTTTATGATTTCTTGGCAAATGTGCTTCGCTGTTTCTTAAATTGATAGATCATCTGAACCGTTTTTATATTAGGACAATTGTCAGATTGGGACATTGCGAATGCAAAGTGCCAAGATCAACTTCAAGTAATATCTCAAAAGCGAGCTAAGGTAATAGTTAAGGTAATAATAATCGGTCTATATATCGTCATGTCCAACTAATTATTAAATGAATCAAAGGCTGTCGAAAAGGAGGCAGAAGAAAAGAAGAAAAGAAAGGAAGAAAAAGAAAGGTCTAAAATGCAAGATCGAATCAATCGAAAGTTGGCTCAGACGGTTGCAGAAAGAAATCAAATAGATGCAGATGTGATTACGGATGTCTTTGTTTTCTTCACGTAGCTACAACGTTAAAGTATTGTTACTATATAGATAATAATTTTATGTTATATAGGCTCCCTCTAGAGAGAAACGAAAATTTGATTTCGATAGTCGTAAGGAATCAGGAATTACGAAAAAAAGTAGAAGTATGCAACAGCTGTAAACTCTATTGAATTCCCTTAACACATTAGTTTAGATCACTTACGGTATAACTATCTTATTTTTGAACTAGCTGATGGCAGTCTAAATAACCCGAGTAGAGAAAGGGAAAGGTACTATTTTATTAATTAGTACGAGCAATGTTATTTAATATTATTATTTAAAAATATGTCGTATAGTCGTAATAGTATAATGCTAACTTGTTTTATCATAGGTACAACGAGAAAACCTCTGTATTTATTAGTAATGTTCCCTTCAGTGCAGTGGAAGACGACATTAGAAGTTTTTTTTCAACGGTAGATCTTACTTGGTATTAAAGTTACGAAATGTTATATAGTTAAATACTTATGACATCTGAATTTCGTATCTACTATCTGTAGTGTGGCAACGTGAAAGATGTTCGCCTAGTACGAGCACCTAACGGAAAATTTAAAGGTTACGGTTACGTAGAGTTTGAAGATGAGGTATAGCCGATTTAGAAATCATATCCTAATCACTTTTAAATCTTGATTGTTATCTTATTGCAGTAATAGATTTCATATTTAACTAATTCTGTGTGATGTATTTCCTTCAGTTGGTGACACAAGAAGCTTTGAAACTTGATAGGAATACTATAGCTGGCCGACCTGTGTATGTTTCTGAAAATGTAGACAAATCGAAGCACCCTACTGAATTTAAGGTACGACAGGGATTCTTTTACATCAACATGCCTAAATCTATATATTTTCAAGAATACGTTGCGAATTTTTAACGGCAATCTTACCACGCTTCCTTAACAGTTTGGATCTGGAATGGATCGATGTACACTATTTGTTAAAAATACTAAAGATATCTCATCTGATAGACTTCGAGAGGTATTCAATCAGGTGAGTCATTGGGCGTTTTTACGAACTCTTCGCTGAAAAGTTGATACAGTAACAAGTTAATCACAATCATTTATTTAACTGTATAATTTTAATATTCCAGTTTGAAGGTTTACGAGACATTAGATGTGTTGCTAGAAAATCGGGAAGGTCAAGAGGTTTCGCTTATATCGAATTTTCCAATGAGGTAGCGAAACATCTAGACGTTAATATTTAATTCTGTATAGTTGGCTGAATACTCGGTACATACAGCGAAGCTAAACATATTTTAGATAAGCAAGTGATAGATACCTGCAAATTGATATTGCATAGGCTTCAGCAGCTAACGCAGTCAAGACGTTAGATAACACTGAAATTGATGGTGTAACGATATCGGTAGCAATATCAAATCCTGATGCTAAGGAAACATCAGAATTTGAGAAGAATCGCAAGCCTGAAATTAGAGAACGTAACGAGAGCAAAAATCGATCGACTTCGGACGTGCCTACAGTTACTAGGTAAATATACTGATAATTACATTGCATAGTTGCTTTTTATTACTCATCATCCTGGATGATTTGCTATAGAATAATATAAATGTAAATTGTTTTGTTACGTAGTCGTGGACGTGGTCGAACTGGCCTGTCTTTTATGGTCCCAAGATCAGTAAAAAAGAATGATAGTACTACTTCTGAATCCAGTAATAATTCTAGCAGCAAACTGAGCAATGATGACTTTCGTAAAATGTTAACGAAATAGTAATGTAAAATTAATTTATGTAGTCCATTGTATACTATGACATTGAATAGCTTTAGAATGTTAGAAGCATGTCCTATCAACATCTAGGCATAGATTAGATCGTGCGACTAGTTCTACCCGTAAATTCCCTTTCTCGAAGTCCAACTTGCAAAAGCAATTTATTATACGCAGTCTGTTAAATGTATTTTAATCTCAATAAATTTAAAGTATATACGCACATTTTTATCACATTTTAGCGTAGCCCATTGATACTTATAATATTTGATTTGGCAATATACCAGTAAAATCGAACTATATGAATTGGTTAACATGCAGTAGATATCATGTAACAGCTTGATCTTAATGGTATATTGCCTGGTGTAGTTATCAATTTGAGCCTTGCATGAACTCCATCACCTGGCTATGTTCATAATTAATGTTAACTGAATTTAACAAAAACGTTTCATAAAATAGCAACAATTCCATCATCGATTTTAGTGATATCAATAAGTTACGTATAGGGATTATTTATACTACATTACTGATGTGATACAGCATTACACTGCTAAGTTTAAAACTATATTGCTATCTTACGCTGGTTCTTTTCCTTCTGTTATTACCATGAAATTGTTGATATCCTACTATAGCTAAACTTTTAAATGTCCATAGTGATAGAATCAAAAAAAATATTATTATGAAGTTACTAGTTACACTTTCGACCGCAGCAATTATAACAGATATACGAAATATCGATGAACAAAACATAAATATGCATATTAAAGACGTCAAGCAGATAAAACTGTAAGAGGCAAAATATCGTAAGAACACTGCAATCATGCCAGGATCGTCAGTAGGAGCTTTGCCCATTACCTACGGTTTAGGATAGTAAATAGTTTTATCAAAATTAGATATTATAAACTAGTCAAGTAAATACATAGTAAGACAAATGAGATATTTACAGCCATACAAGCTTACGTAGATATTAATGTAGACTGCTAAATTGTAAAAAAAGCGGGCTAGGAATGCGTTTTCAGAGGAACGTCGTATAGGTCTGTTAGCAAGGCTAACTCGAGCAGGCAAGCGGTCAAACTTTCTAAGTCCATTCATAACCTAAAATTTGATATCCCAGCTCGTAATTAAGACGGTTACTTTTTCAATTTAAAGGAAATTAGACGTACTTGATATCTGCCTAAGGGCGTTAAGGTGAGTCCAGACCCGGTGATAGTATGGTCAGGTAAATTAGTACGAGTATTACCAGGCATTTGGCTCTCAACATTTGCTAATATTGTATTTTCCTCGGATTGGGATATCTAATAATATGAAACAAAAATTATAATACTCTTAGCCATATAGCTATTATAAAACTATTACTACTATAAAATCTAAAATAAACTCACTTGATACATTTCTGTAATACAATATCGGGCCTGTTCAAGATATTGTATGGTCTTAGTAGCATCTTTCTCCTGTTCTGTTTCAAATTCTGCGCTAAAATAGGAAACTACGGAATTTATAAAACCAGTCTTTTGAGCTTTTTCAGAAGTCATTTTAAGTTTTCGAGTCGCTTCAATAATGATCTTTAACAGCTTTTTGATCTAATAGCATAGAAAGAAGGCATTCATCAATAATCGAATTCTCTATTTCTTCCCGCTTGTGATCTACTAGCTATGGTGCAGTAGACTAAAATTGGTACTTTAAATCAATATATTCGTTGCACTATACCATGTCTCTCATATTTGGTTCTAAAATCGGCTGGTAAATTATAGATAGACTATCAAGATGTTTTTGCATATTTGTCAATGCCTGCTGTTCATTGTTAGTGTAAGATTCCATCATTCTACCATTATCAGATAACAGAAGTGCTTCACCTACAGAGATTATTTTTGCTTCATCCGTTAATAATATAATTCAATATGTATGAAATATAAATATGTTATAGTTTAACCTTCGTCCATAATATTCATTAATCCAGGTTGGTTCATGACTTTGGACACTCTCATCAACAGATGTGCTTCCCTTGTACTTGTTAAATCAGATCTTAGAGCCCGAAGGAGATATTTATGAAATAAAATGGAATATACGCCTATGTTGTTGAAAACGAACTCTTTCCTAAAATATAAAGCAATCTTTAGCTAAGGACATTGTTTACTATCCGACGTATAATAACTATATTTCAGAACTGTTATACCATTTTCTAATATCTGCTGCATCACTCATACTACTTGGCAGTGGCTTTTCATTAATATCAAGATATCTCCATGGCTGTAAATAGCTTAACCATGTCTCCAAAACCTTTTAAAAAATAAGTCGAATTAAATTTAAACGATGCCCAATCAATTTACGTAGGTTAGTAAAGATCTGAACGTAAAGCTAACCACACGAAAACTAGAATCCATTGGCCAGTGGTCAAATGAAAACTGAAGAAATCCAAACAGCTTCTTCGCTATATACTCAGGGATTGCAATTCTAGTCAACAAAAACATAACGTAATTCGTTTAGCAGTATATCCTAATTATGTGGATTCATTTGTAGACGATTTTATAAATGTCCAGCCAAAGTACACGTACCTTCTTAAACTCTCAGTAGCAGAAAATGTACTATTAAGAGAATAATTGATGACATCACTGGCTACCTTTCCTTTACTGCAGTTGCAAAAGTAATGCATATGTTTTATAAAGCGCCGAACAATTCGTACATGATCGTAGGACGGCACAGTGCTGACATTTTGCTGCATCTATTTTAATAATTAATTATAGACTGGATTAGATGTGTGACTTACTAAAGAACACCGTCGAAGATGTAAGTAGTTCTATTAGATTTACAGCATTAAAAATATAATATTTTATTCTAGGTAAATTACTCGAAATGAAGAGGAAATATTAGAAGAATTCTGTTGGGTAATTTCCTGTTCATTATTGCAATTTAGCCAAATTTCAGCAAATATCTATTACGTGATGGATAACAGATTTTAGATACCATTAATTATCATAACAATGCAGCAGAATCACTACAGAAGTATTACACTTAACAAAGTAGCAACAGTGCAAGGATATTTAATAAATAAAGACAATAAAATACCTGAACTAAGGCATCAGATCTTTCTACTGCGTCTTTCATTGAATTGCTACAGCCGGTAAATGATTCTTCCATTACTGTCATAGTAGGCTTGAGTAAGCGACTACCATGAAACCTAGTGTAGTTAATTAGTATTCAAATCGCACTTCCTACTGACACCGCCTGAGAACAATTGAGTTACGAGTACTGTATTTCGTAGTACTTTCATAATATAATAAGCGTAGATACCTATTCGTGATAATTTTGGTTGGAGATGTAGCGATAGACTTGTTCATACCCAAGGCAGTCGACTTAATTGGTGATCCATCGGCGGGCAAAAAGTAATTTAAATACTTCTCTACTAATTTACAATACAAATCGTCTGATTCGTTCATATTCGTAGTTAGTGCTAGCTATATAAAATGAATTAAGATGATCTATTGAGTATAATGCATTTTGACGTAAGGTTTTACTTCAGTTACCGCAAGATTATTAAACAGATATTTCTTGAAAAGATATTAAGACAGTTTAATTTACCCCTGACATTAGTTCTGGAGCCGTTAGCAATGAAGATGCAAAATGAAAGAAATAGTAGTCGAAAGCAGCTAATTATAAGATCCGTTAAGGAATGAATCAGAGAAAGATGTTGCAGGAAAATCTTTTGAATATACATAGTCTGTAGACTCCTCAATTATTAATTTTAAATCAAGGTTTTAGGTATTAAAGACATTACAAGAGACACTCTAATTTGTTGCAAGCTTATTACTATAAATGAATACCTACTATAAGATTGTACGAATAGCAAAAAAATAGGATACATAAGGAAAGACCTATAATCATTTCACAATTGTTATGATAAGTTTGTATCTTGACTCGTTTAGCGTAAAACATTGATTTAATTCCTTGCTGTAGCTGATTTCGGGACACCATCTATGTATTCATTGGGTATAGTGTTATAAGTGAATGATGGTATAATAAATACAATATTGCAAAATAAAATCTTTATCGATATTTTATAACTTACAGGTATGTTCTTTAGAGGATAATCAAATCGTATTTCTTCTCTTTCTAATTTGTTAATCATACCAAAAATGCCACCATCGTAAGGGGACAGAAAGTTTTCTAATGTATCGGTATCCCATCGATCGTGTACACGATGAGAAGAAAAAATACCCCAATCATGATTTTTTCCACAGCCGAAGATATCCCGTACCAATTGTGGAAAGATATGTTGTAATTCCTAAATGAAATAATAAAGCAATGTAGCTTGAAAACAGCGAAAAGAATTCTCTCAAAGTTATTACATAATTTTTAACAACTTAAAGTATCTAGCTGTGGAGCACATGCGAAACGTAGAAAGGGGTTAAATTTTTCTATACAAGTGTAGACTGTATTAAGCATCTACAGTATCGGCCTACGGTAATGACCACCATAAAGTCATTTCTTACGTCCGATTTACTACTTCCAATAAGTATAATCTCATTTACAGTGAGAAATGATCTCGAATACATACTCTAATATGATATTCTGTTGTTAAAGTCGTCAATTCCTGGCATCTTTCTCGTAATGGTTTCTGACATATAGAGCTGTAGCGTACCTACCAAAAAATGAATAGAAATAAGGCACTGCTTGAATGAATATTTAGAATGAAAGATTTTCTATAATTGCATCTATTCTTCGCAATCACAGCCATATTAATATTGGTCAATGAATGAGGTTAAATTGTTGCATACTATTTACATCGATCATGTTATCTACAAAAAACATCTTTGAATCAGTCTTACGTACAATTTCTTATCACATAACTATACTAAATATATTCAATACAATCTTTTTCGTTTATAATTTTAGACGTGGAGCATTTCAAGATTTGAAGAAAAAGTAATGAAGGGTGACTACTTAGTTTACAGGCGAAGTAAAATACCGAACTTAGTCTCTCAATTAGCACAGTCTAAATTATTATTAGAATAATGGCATGCAGTTGCTTTAACTTTACAGTAAATTATGACAGCACATGCACAACAAGAACATAAATAATACACTGTAAATTATGTCTTATAATATGTGTCCAAGTTTATAGCAGAGCCACCATCATCTGCTTACTACTGAATATCTTATATCGTGATTCGATTTTTGGGGCCTATCCTTTACAATGTGCAGAAATGATGGAAAAAATATATTGCTTCATGTTTCTTCAAACTACCATTTCATTAATGTCGACAGGTAACTAGAGATGATAGATACGTTACCATATCGTTCTCCAGCTGAATCAATGATTGCAGCACTTGCAAATAGATCGCTATACACTGCACTATACGCATAGAGACATTGATACAGAACGAATACAACTACTATACTGTACTGATCGATTACAGCGTCAATCTTGCTTCAGAAAGCCTACTATCAGTGCTAAATTGATGCAAAACTTTCTACTAATTATGACAGCACATGCACAACAAGAACATAAATATTACACTGTAAATTATGCTTATAATATGTGTCCAAGTTTATAGCAGAACTACTATCATCTGCTTACTACTGTATATCTTATATCGTGATTCGATTTTTGTGGCCTATCCTTTACAATGTGCAGAAATGATGGAAAAAATATAATGTTTTGATGTTTTTTCAAACTACCATTCCATTAATGTGGATATGTAAATAGAGATGATAGATACGTTACCATATCGTTCTCCAGCTGAATCAATGATTGCAGCACTTGCAAATAGAGATCGCTATAAACTGCACTATACGCGTAGAAACATTGATAAAGAACGAATAAAACTACTGTACTGTACTGATCGATTACAGCGTCGATCTCCCTTCAGACAGCTTACTATCAGCACTAAATTGATGCAAAACTTTCTACTAAGTCAAATCGATGTTGAATGGAATGCTAACCCACTGCAATATAACAACTGCTCAAAATGCTACGATCAAGAGAAACGTGGATCTAATTCTGACGTTTCTTTACAACCTTCTTCAATAATGCTAATTTTCTTCGATAGTTCAACAATGTTAGCTATAATATAATTACAATGATCCGATCGAAGACAACTTTGTACGTCAGTTATGCAATGATATCTATGTAATATTAAGACATAACCGATATTATTTCTAATTATTCTTCTGCTTGCTACCTCAATATTTTCAATTTGCCCGGTCGCCATGGTTCAAATTAGGACGCATGCGTATCCGTTTGCACCCTAGACCAGTACAGTACGGTAGAACAAGAGCTACAGTTCAAACTCTACAGTACTACAGTACAGTACTGTACAATACATACTGTAGCCTCATCATACAGATGCAGTATAGAAAAATCTCCATGGATTCTCCCAGTTGATCAGAAATTTGAGGGTAAAAATTTCTAGTAATCCATGCATTCCATCAACAATATGATGGCTTGGAGCCTTGGTAGAGACATACAGACAGTACAGTAATTTACAGTAAACCTTCAGGCTAGGTTATGACCAGTAATTATAGTTATAATTCATGGCTTATGTTGAGCTTTTTGCAAGAGAATTTTTCTATTGGAACATTATATTAGCAGCTTCAGTATAAAATCTTGTATTGATTTTTCCAAAAAGCCTTTTCTACCAGTGTACTAGTACTGTTATAGTCAATCCTTGCTGACAGTATCACTTGTTGTTGTACGCTATGTTTACTATTCTTCAGATTTTTAGATGGCCAAGTATATAGAAATTCTTGTTGTATGCCTTCACTATTCTTGCATAGACAGTTGGGGTAAACTTTAGTAAATATGTCCGTGAAGTTGCAGAATGCAATTAAGTCGTCTAACACCGGGAAAAAATCGTATGATCTGCGTTGTTGTATGCCTTCACTATTCTTGCGTAGACAGTTTTTAGAAGTTTTGATCAGAAAATACATCAACATATTCGTATTTACTTCATGTAACATAGTTTTATGGTCGATGATTTGGGGATACTGTTAACCATATTGACCGTGAATAATATTACTGTACTGTAGTGGACTACCAAATCTTAGTCGGCCATGACACCACTCCATGTTACAGTACTGTACTCGATGACCACGGTACAATGTACTGTAGCATGAGGAGGAAGCTATTATCTCTCATCTCCATGACGCCCAGAGCTCCAAATCCATCAAAATTGATTAATTAATTCATCAACTCGCTCAAGCTGACAGGGAGCCAATGTGGCGCTATTAGAAATCAAACATCCAAACGACTGTTTGCCTAGCAAGTCATGTCCAGTAAAAGCAAATTATTGTGCAGTTTCGTTGGTGTATTACTCTTCATTTCTAATATTCATCAAGGTAAAGATAGCATTGTTAATGCAGTATACTCTACTCTAGCGGAATACCTTAACAATTAGTCCTTCATCGATCTGGAATTTTCATGTTCTGTACTAAAGTCGTTAATAATCATCCAATGGAATAGTACTATCGAGGGTAAACTTTACTTAGATAAGGAGTTAAAGCAGTCATTGCAAGGGCTAGTAGTCCACCATCATCGAGTATAGCCTTACTGAAATACGAGTAGCAATGTGAATTTTTATCATTTCACTCCTTTTTGCGCCCGTATTGCATCCTACCTTGGCTGGATGCAAGCTTGTAGTTGATTTGCAATACATTTCGAAAATAACTACATATTACTCAATAAGACTACATATATGTACCGTTATCATAATAATGAATCAAAGTTGGAAAAGTGATTTTTTTTAAATGGAATACTAAGTTCTATTGCCAATTGATCCGCTAAAATACTACCACCTAGCGCATTATCAAAACTGTATAGGATGTACGCGTATACATCAATTTCTACTTACGTATGCCATCTCAATAAAAAGTAAATAAATAAACATAGAGCACAGTCCATCAAAACCTACTTCTGATTGCTTTTGCTTTATGATTTAAGGACTGTATAGTAGTAGTAGAGCATTTTCTTACACGTACCCCAGCAATGATTGCAATGCATTAGATTGATCGTGAAGGTATAGTAGTTTACTTTATATTGACTAACAACAGAATTGACGCAATCATGTAAGAGTCAAATCGTTTTCTAGAAGTATGTGAATGAATTTATTTATTCCATAAAGTCATGATGCTGATGATAATATTCCTAAATATGAATACCCTTACATCCTATCATTATTGTATCCAATCATCTCTAGTGGATAGCTGCGATACGAACAATGGTTGGGCCGATGTTGAAAATAAATGTTATCGTCATTTTGATCAACAACTTAGCTGGGAAGCAGCAAGAACAAGTTGCAGACAATTGAATGGCGATCTAATAGTTATTACAAGTGGCACTGTTGTCAATATATTACAAGATACTTTCGTCAATATTACTACTAGTTTTTGGATTGGTCTCCGTGATCAAAATGGTGCCAATAATTTAGCTGATTATCGCTGGACTGATGGGACATCATTAACTAGTTATACTAATTGGGCCAGCGGACAGCCAAGTAATACTAATCAACGTTGCGTTACTGCCGACCCTCAATGGTCATGGTTCGATGAAAGTTGTACGCAATTGGCGAGCTATATGTGCCAAAAAAGTAAGTATTAAAATAAAAAGGTCTATATTCATTCTATAATACTTACTTAGAAGATTTAATCTACTTATGATAGCTTATGCACTTGACTTTATCAATCAATAATATACCGCAAACAAAGCAAAAATTACTTGCTGTCGTAATTTATTATATGTATGCGAGCGTATATGTATAAACACTATGTTATAGACCAAAAAACTTTACTATTCCGTATTCCCTACGGCTCTTTCGTTTAATAATTTGTTTTACCCATCTCTAACTTTATTATCTACTTGAAAAGAATAATTTTATTATATGTCACGAAATCCATTGATATATCTCAATAGATCAAGCCGTAGTGAATATCGTTAACAGAGCCACTATAACACAGCAGGAAAATCAGAGAACTGGTAACGTTGCAGTTCAATTAAGTGAAAATGTGATAGCGAACAATGTAAGTCATCGTTTCAGATCATATTTAAAGTGTAATGACTTCAGTGTATTATAAACAACTGAACGTGAGATGCAACGAAATTCATGTCAGCAATTCAATTTCGGTTAAATACGCTGTTAGCCGGTATTATCGTTCTCAGCTAGTCTAACACAGAAATTTAAATGCTTTATATTATGTGGCTGTTAATTTATATGCCTGCTATTAAGAACTTAAGGTTAACTTTATCTACTGTAGGTATCCGTAACGTGTAGAGTTTCAAATGCAGCTTCTGATATAACAAATTTAGTATTCGGTACGATCCTGATCCCACCAGGTAGTAACTCTGGCAGTCTTTCCTACAGGTAATGTTACTTTAAATGTTGCAATGTTACCATTTTAATATCTGTTAGGTTTAACTGTTAAGCTAATACTAGCACTGCACTGAAGGTTTGCACTACTCTTAACTAGCATTGAAGGCAGAAAATTGTACACGTAGCCAAAGTTGATGTAAAAATACAAAACTACTGCATATAGAAATTGAATACTTCGGTTCTTACTTCTCTATGGATTAAAAAACGACTCGTTATGTGTACATGAGCTGTTTACCATTATAATGGACACTAACTATATTTCGGATTATGATATAAAATGATTATAAATTATATTATAAACGAATATGTGTAGTTAGATCCATATTTATACAACGTAAGTTAGCATATTTTGGATAAAACCACGTATCGTAGAAATAATACATCTATTACCGTACAAATAATCAGTAAGGATTATTTTGGGTATAGTTTAACGTGTAACGATGGTAATCTTGTAATGTGATATACTTAATTAATGTTGAATTATCACATAATCGAAATTACGATTATACTACTGAAGTATACCAAGAATGACAAGTATTAATTAAACACGTAATCATATAATTTTATAAATGTAATGTGGTATATAATTATAATATTTATTAAGTTTTGTGTAATACCTCATTGATTTAGTTACTTACTATATGTCAATAAATATAAATGCAATCGATGAGAGATTTAAATTAAAATCTTTAATGGTGATCTATAAGTCCTATTTTAATTTTATCACAAATCTTGTTTTACCATACAGTATATCATCGCCTGGTCAAGCAGCAACCATCACTTGCTCAGCTCAATCGATTGGAGGAACCCAGTTCCTAAGCAACACTTCTGTGGGATTGACTGGGTAAACCAACCTTGTATTGAGAATAATTAGTACTTCAATTCTTAAATTTTCTTCTACTTTGTCGGTACATCAGATCAATACGCGTGGTAAAAGCTGCCAGAGCTGATTTTTGCTCAGATGTTGTGGTCGTACCGGTAACTGGAGCTGGCACTGCAAGGATTGAGTTGAGGTATCCTGAAATTCTCATAAACATATCTCGGCTCCCGATAGAAAGAGAAAGGCTAATTATTCAATTTTTCTCATATTACAGTGAAAGTGTGGCTGATAATCCTGTCGTTATCACATGCAACACTGTTAGTAGTAATACTGCGCAAGTTACCTTTGTCCAGCAGAATGTTGCTATAGGAATTCGAATAGCTAGCGTATGTTAAACTATCTTCAATTAACATTCGTCCCAAATTTATAATGAAAGCCATTTATATAATACTTATTTCAATTACTCTGTCATTGTTACCATTAGATAAGCTATACTGTTTCAAGTCAAGACTTAGGAGATGCATATGTGATCTGTACCGCACAGTCATCGAACGCCGGTACACAATTTCTTACTGCAACCTCAGCAAGTAAGTTTAGCATAATCTGAAATTTAAATTTCATCCCTTTGAAAACAACGATATTTTGTATACAATTTAAATGATGTATTCGCCTTAATAGGTCGAAATGCAACTTTTCGCATACAACTTGCGGCGTTAAGTCTTATCCCAACGTATAATAACATGTACCGAAGTAACCTTACACTATATTTAACCGTCAATATACCCATCCCAAGTGCTGAATTCGCAGCTATTTTTACATGCTGTATTAGTAACTACAGTGAAACAGGAAATCAAGACCTTGCAAGCTGTACTAATCAAATTGCCTCCTCAATCGTACAAGCAAACGGAACACTGGCAACCGTATCGCTATCACAATCAACTATTGCCTTTCAGGTAGAAATTTGATTCATTCTGTACTAAAATCTTTGATAAGGTAATTGACAAATGTGATATGCTCATTTGTGTTACTTTTTACAACTTTAGTCTGGAGAATACTTTAAGACACTTAATGTGATTACATCGCCAGCAATTGATCAAACTTGGAAACAGTTGTTTTCGATAACCTGTTCATCGGGAAGTAGCACTACTAATCCTAGATATGCAGGACTAAATGCTACGGCCTATATCAATTTAGATCTTAGCCCAATAGTACCTGAAAATATCACAACAGGTAATACTATAAAAATACGTTTTTATAATTTAATTATAGTATATTAATTCATTAATAAAGACGGTAATTTTTTCGTATTATTATACAGGAAGCATCCTAACTAACGTGAATCCAGCATTTACAGATATTGCTCCATGTCCTTGTAATTTACAAGTAAATTTTTGCGATCCTAATTGCTGTTGTGATTCGGTAAGTATAACCTGAGTTTGTGCCCATAGACACAGAATTAAATTTTGAATTAAAAAAGGCTTTTCATTAATCAATCTAACCATTTATTGATATGCCGTGCTAGGATTGTACCGCTTCGGATATTGCTACGTTTACAACGTGCTTACGGCCGTTTGTTGTTAGACCATTAGAGCATGATTGTCGAGCAATATGGCCAGATAAACAAGATTATGAAGCACTAATGTGCGTGGCTGTTGATAATAATCCTTTACTTGGCTTTTTTTATTCTATTCGATCAGCTGTTACTAGCGTATCCAGTTTTAATACCTTAGTTACCGCTAGTCGTGCAATTTACAGTTATCGCGAGTCAGAATTGCAATCCTTTTCTGGTCAAGTTACAAATACAGTGTCATATCAATATGGAATTCCTATCGTCTTAGATATTTCTGGCGGTCTTTCTGGATATTTAGCTCTGCCTAGCCAAATCATAGGCGGCTGCACCAAAAGAGGTTTAGTTAGATATCTCATAAATTCAAATTCACATTGTACTCAGTTGATAAGCAATTCCTTGTGTACGCCAACATCAACGTGGAGTGCAGTACAATACTTAATGTCACGATCGCTATCCTTTCCTCCATGTCCAATCTCTGATGCGGTAAAAAAGCTTTTCACTGGTGCAATAGTAGCTTCTGCAACCGTAAATTATTATTGTCTTAACGATATATCACCATATATCACTAATGGGCAATCAGCTACAAATAACAATCCTGCCAATCTAAGAAGGTGTAACTTCGACGACGGTAGAACACGACCTCCCACACCACTTCTCGATTCTACGTCTAGTCTATGCAATAATGTTGTTACCAAGGTAGATTATAAAATTTACTGGAATGGACCTGAAATTGATAGAATTATCGCGGATGTAATTATGGGCTCAGTTCCTTTAACCTCTAGTTCAACTAGTAGAAGGAAAAGTACTCTCACGCAGCAATTTAGCGTACAATTTATTCACAATACCACCGTTTTACCAATGGTTAGTTACTCTGGTAATCCGGGCTATCTTAAGAAATACCCCGTCCTATTTGCTATAAATCAAATAGGCGGCGGTTCTAGCAATAGTATTGTATCAACTGGCGCTTACTTGCGGCGATGGTCACCTAGTAGTAATGGTTTATGCGATAGCTCCAGTAGAGTCGATGTCACATTTGGCAATGATGAAATTAGTGGATGTACCCTGTCGTTATCAATTGCCGATTTTCAAGATTGTGCAGCGTTAAGGGATCGTGTTAAAATATTATTAGATGGGTCAATATCGGCTGATTATGTAGGCAAAAGAGGCAATTCCAGTGATACTCTAAACAATGATTGGCTGTCGATTATCAAGTAAGTATATCCGTAGAGTAATAAAGTTATACCTAGATCTTGGCTTCCATGTGATCTTCAATATTATGTAGAACTTAATTTAGACTCGTATTTTGATAGTTTTTATTGCGGGTTCCGATAGCGTATCATTTTGAAGCTTTATTTATTAACCATTGTAACGTACGCATACTATCTGTTCTCAATTACCTATCTTAGGGAAGATCCCGTCTATACCAACAACCTCACAAGTAATCCTAGCGTCATTAGTGGCTCATGTAGTGAGATACCAGCGGCTTTAAATGTGACATTTCTCACTGCTCAAGTCAGAACAGCGCCCATTGGCAAATTAGAATGGGAAATCGTTGGTGCTCAGATAAGGTACTGTATGTTATTCTAGTTATGATTGTATCAGGCTTAGAAATACTGCAAATATTAATGACTATTCTATATATTTTATTCAAGATATAATCTGGAAGACTGGGATTTTATTTGTGGAACTGGTGGAGCTTATGGTTGTTCTTCACAAGTTAACGATACCACCTCACCAACTTCCAACTCTACCTCTGCCACATTAACTTTCAGTTCACGTTTTAAACCTTTTATTGTTAAAGTATTCACAACGTTTATTGAGGTTCCTGCTATCCAGCAAACCAATGAGCCACTGTAAGTCAATATTAATATATTGTATGTATAAACTAGAAGTGCTGAAGTCATCTTCATTCTTTATATAAGGTAGGTGTTATTAGGCCATTGCTGTATGATAATTTTTTCAATTTTCAATTTAGGTCAGCGGAGCGAGATAGGGAAATGAGTAAGAAATGCTGTTCCGATATATTATACCCATTCTCTTTAACCAACTTCGATAGACTGGCTCGTGACCGTGCTTTAGGCTTCATGATGATGTTAATACTATTACTTATTGGTGGCGTTGCTATCACAAAGCCTTGGATCTAAGATATCTCCGTTATATATGCACAGCACAGATCATATTTAACCAGATGCTAAGTCATCCTTCGTAATCGTATTCAAGTTCAAAGACAAAATTTTCTACACTCTTCCTTTATTACTATCTATCTATAAAGCGTCTAAATTGGCGTACATGTATATAGAATATTTAAAATGAGGAACAATAATATTCATAATATGGTGACTAACACCATCTTGCATGATAATTTAAATGTACCATAAGATTTATCTTCACAATGGCAATATAAAAAGTGTATCGTCTATTATTTATAATTAGTACATATAAAGTAATGTAGCCAAAGTAAACAACACTGTACAGTAAGTTCTACTTTACTTGCTTTTACTCTGAAACATGCCAGCCAAAGCTTGCTGATAGAATTTATTTTGCTTTAGTGTTTTTGTAAATAAGTTCTGTATCGCCATTATGACAGCCTTATTGCTCGGATCTTGTAATTTTGCCTAATAAAATAATTGATCCTAGTTAAAATTATATAGTTCGTTTGTAATTTGTCGTGTAACAGAAATTATTGTTGTAAACATTTAACCAACCGATTCTAAATCAGCTTTAGCATTATCAAAATCATTGACAGCGGTGTACGCAACACCGCGCTTAAATAGAGCTTTTAGATTATTTGGTTCCATCTGTAAAACCTACGGAGTAAGTATAATGTAAACACTATTAACAACAGCTACCTTAAAGCCAATGGTGATATTTACAATATTTCAAAACCTTCGAACAGTTGACAATTACTGATGGATGCATGTTATGCTTTGCTTGACAGGTAGCAAGATTGAGATAGCAATTTTTTCTGAGATTAGCTGGAAGATATTAATTGATTAAGATTAAATGGAGTAAACTGCTAACAGCTCCAGTTAAGTAACATACTGCGCCCTACAAATTGTAACCGTATTCTATTATATACATAGTATACTATACGCATATCTTGCATACAATGTTCATCATTTCGGCTTGCTAGGCGATCAGATTCCATAATAATTAAACATTTCAAGGCAATACTGAATCTGCGAGCTGCAGCAATAACCTTTCCGCTCTAATATAGAAATTTTTCAATAATATTAAACAAGTATCCATGAAAAGTATGTATAAATGTATTTAGATATAGCCGTGATAGACATTCAATGTATCATAAGTACTGATATCACTAAAAGTTTGACCTTGTATAGATTTACACCCCTTGCTTTATTACTTATTGCTTCATTAAACAGCTCCTCTACAGTAGAATACCAAGTCTCCTTTGCCTGTATTATTATTATAAATAAAGACCCATATAATGTAAGGGAGTAATAATAGATGATAGGAGGAGTCTACGTATAACCAAGACGAACGTAGTTTACCTTAATAAATTTCTTCAATTGAACTTCATATACAACTTCGATATCTTGATCTATATGAATATCCTCTTCTTTGAGAATATAGTAGGCTTCATCTGGCTTTAGAGTAAAATTGCAAATGTCGCCGGCGTGCATGGATTGTAAACAGTCATCAATCACTTCACATAGTTCAGTATCGCCTATCAAATTTTTCATAAATAGAAGTATTATCACAACATTATTAGAAGCTAAACTAACTTTATTTAAATTACGGTCTCATTAGTCACATATGCAGTAAGAGCAAGTACCATCATTAAAAGCATATAATATATAAATAAAGCAGGCAAAGTAAGTTAAGGTAGCATAGGATCAAATATCTTAGTAATAGAATTACTTCTATCCTAAAAAGATAATAAGTATCATTTATATATCATAACCTATTTACCTTGACCAATTTTCCACTCTACCTCTTTATCATAACGAGAATCGATAATTGTGTTGTTCGATACGAGCTTCCCCGTGACGATAACTAATACAAAAATCATCAAGGTATAGCATTAACAAAATAATAAATACAACGAGATACTTGATATACTAAGGTACTATTAATGGGCATTACCTGAGCAAAAAGAGCCGACATTAGGTGTGATTAGGTCTTGCCCTAACCTCGTAATGTGGCGTTGATAGAAATCTTCATTACCCATCTAAAATCGCATATGCATTATTGTTCGTATATCATGTATTCCTAAACAACTTAGCCTAATTAATCTAAATCTTACTTTGACATCGAAAACAACGAGATCAAGGTATACGTTTGCTCATATTTCTACATTCTCAGGAATGCAAACAATCACAGGTATAAAATATAATTTTAAGGCTATTTCAGCAGTGCCAAATCTCATACGAGCCCATTCATGAACACTTGCTAGTATTGAATAATGTTATTCTCTATAAGCCTCGCCAAAATCGAATATTTATCAATATTTAATGAGTTATTCGGTGTTAATTTCTTCTTCTCAACTGACGATGGAGGTTATGAAATTGCAGCTGAGCAAAAAACGAACAGACTTTGTCCCAGCAACTAAATGATGGGTTACTATACCCTAGTGAAGACTAGTTCACGGTGTCATTTACAGTCTACAGTATGGGTCAATATATCAGTATGATACCCCTTACTTAATAAGTCTGCTGTCTGTCCGTCCTCGCGTCCGTGTGCTTCCTTCATGGTCGATCGTTTTCTTGCTTATTTGCAGATTTATCAGAGGGCTCGACAGAAACTAAAGCAATAATCCTATACTAATGTATACTTGAACTTCACAATTATTGCTAATACGTTTAGAAATAAACGAAAAAGACAGATTCAAAGCCAAAAATATTAATAGCAAATTCAGGTTTACAGTTTGTCCACTTTTAAAGATTTTAATATCATTCCATAGTAAATAAGAAAATTAGCACTACTGAATGCGTACCAATATTGATTACGTTATTCGAAGCGCTTTGCGCTGCTGTTTTCTAATACTGCACTAGTACATGGTTGATCCTGGGCGTTCCGTTTCCATAGTAACATAGAGCAAGGGTTTAATCAAATCTGTACTTAATAATGGTTATAACAATTATATAGTAATTATTAAATAATAATTAGACCATTCGTCATCCAATGGCGCAAATTCAACATTCTTCGTGAAATAATCGTACAGAATGCTTATTTACAAACTAGTTCAAGCCGATTTCGCACGATATTAGTCAATATTATTAACTGTCAATTGTCAAACGATTCCGTTATAGGGTAAAAGTCAAGGCCTTCATCAATGTTATATTTGACATGTCATGTGAAATTCTACTTCTTATTGAAGTCAAAATAGCCTTAATGGCAAATATTGGATTGTGTATGATGATATAGAACGACTCTACTACTCATGATGGATATGGACGCCAATCCTAAACTTAAAGCCATTCTAAATAGCAAAGCAAGAGAAGCACGTGTGACTCGTCAATTATTGCTTTCACAAGTAATATTAATGAAAATATCGCCAGGAATTCTCGAAAAATTGACCAATTTAAGACATCTATATATCGTTGGGTGCTCATTAACTGGTAGTGTTCCACACCAGTTAGTTAATATGTCCAATTTGCAAACTCTTGATCTATCCGATAATAAATTAAATGTTGTTCCATCGCCTATATTTGAAAATCTACGCCAATTAAGAACGGTCGACCTTAGCCGCAATGATTTTGTGGCATTTCCTAAAAGTCTGAAATATTTGCAAAAGTTGAAAAAATTGAATTTAAGCTTTAATAAATTTTTAGAAATGCCAGCAGAATTAGGATATCTAAAGCATTTACAGCATCTGGATATGTCTTCCAATTTAATCGATTCTATATCTACTGACGCTATTTGCCAAGCTTGGAAAAATTCGCTGATGGTCCTTAAGCTTGCTAATAATTTAATCTCTCGATTACCATCCCAAATTGGCTTACTAACTGCTCTTCAAGAACTGGACATACGCAATAATAGACTTCGATATTTACCAGCAACGGCGGCATTGCTTTTAAATATTAGTATATTTTGTTATTCCGGTAACGAATGGCGTGTATATTCACCGCATTCAAGCTATAGTTTATACGGACAACACCTTGAAGAAGACGATGTTCAAGCCGATGCAGCTAGTTATGGACCAGCAGCATTAGAAAAACTGCTAAGCTACTGTATAAATAGTAACGCTGATGAAATATAGCGTAATATTCATGGCCATAACAGCTAAAAACCTATAACTTACTTGATAATAATAAAAACAATTTTTTCTGCTAAATCAAACGCTACAGGTTTTCATTTACATCCTGTCTGGATCTGTACACTGTCGTATACGAGTATACATATTACGGCTATTATACTACGGTATGCTAATAAATGTCAAACGAGTTATTATATTACATAATCAATCGGTAGTCATTTAACGTACTTAGTTTACACTTTGTAGCACAGTGGCATTACAGATTTTTGATATTTTCCTGCTACTATCAAGCATTTTAATTAAACGTACATAGATAGGGAAATAATTAAATATTAGCTTTTGACATGCTACTACGGAAAAGATCAGCTCTATTTGCAATCAAAACTATATCAACTATATAATATAATATGAATTAGCAATATTTGACTGGCTTAGCATAGATTTTAATAATTTCCTCATACAGTAATACTTAGAAAGTAATAGGTGAATCTTTGGTCAAAATTTACAAAGTTACATCTTTAAACTCAATCAGCTATTAGTATTAATTATAGTCTTTTATTGTAATAAGTGTTTACCGAAATTGTTATCGGTTATATTTTTTTCTAATTTAAATTTAATTATTCGACTTGAACTATAGTACTTGAAAAGTAATATATGAATATTGGCCAAACATTATGGTTTTTATTTTTAAATTTTATGATTCTACTGAATACCAAATTAAAATATATATAACCGCTAATTATTTTGTAGGATTAATAAACGTTCAGTTTGGTTCACGCTTTACGCCTATTGCGTAATAACCACCTGAATAGATCATACTTCAAAAGTCTTACTATGCTGCGAATAGTTCTTAATGCACTTCATGCTAATAAGGAAATAAGTTTGATAAAGTAATGATAAATACAGCATAATGCTACCAAAAATTGGCTCAAAGTTTTCATTCTTATAATGAGGAATAGTTGACTTTTAATTTATTGATATACGAGAATATATATATACGTATTACTGTCGCCGTATTTGTAGTAAAATCTAGAGATTTTGAATCGATCCAAGTTATCTTCGAAATTAGCTTGAAATATAACTTGCAAGCCTAACAAATCATATTTCCTTTACAACAATTAATTGGCTACATTACGTTGCGCTACCATTATAAAAAAGTTACCCAAGATATAAAAATTAGCGTTTTTATCCATTTTAGTAATATAAAAATATAAATGGAAGACTAAATAGTATTATTATCGCCTTGATCAACCTGCCTATCAACATAATACGAGATGAAAAGCGTACTTTGCAGCTATAATATTAAAGTTAGAAGTAAAAAAATTTACAAAATTATCAACAAATACAAATCTTTCAGTACATGTAGCATTTTAACAAAGTTACTACGGGTACTGACAACAAATCATAATTTAGCAATTTATATTACATTTTGACATGTTTTCATTTAACCATAAAGCAGATAACAATTCAATTTATTAAAATACTGTAAATGTTAAAATTATACTGCTTTTTCCGATTAGAACAGCCATCAAAATAGAAATTCATATTGGCTTTGGTTATGATACAGAATAAAGATTATGCTACATCATTGATCCAGATTGTCAAATACGGCTTTAAAAGAATGGGAGTTAAATAAGCATATAGAAATGATATATAAATCATCCCCATTTCTAGCTGTTATAAAACGGATAGTTTTAAAATTTCAGAAATGTGACGAGAAGTATGACTTTATATCTGTTGCGCATGTAGGCCATTTTAACTACTATAAAATAATTTACGGAGACATGAAAATGGCATTTACTTAGATGATCGAATGGTAGGAAAATAATATTATTTTATCGAAAGAATAGATATCATATCTGAATCGTTACAAAGAACGAAAACGACTTAAGAAACGAATAATTTAGGAATACCGATTAAGATACATTGATAGACATAATATATAAATAAGCTTAGCATAGTATTTTCATATTAGCATTGCATAAAATTAATAAATAGATGCTGTACAAAAAAATAATTGCTTCAAATGGGATAAAATTTTATACCCGTATCGCTGAATACTAGAATTGTAGGTGCATAGAAATAATTATTTCATCTTTATATGTACATCATACATTAGTTTAACAGCCTATGTCTATTACATAACTGTACAAGCAACACTTATGGTACTTTTCCGTCTACCTCTTAGTGTTTCATTGTCTAAAGATTTTGATCTTCTAAATATTTTACCATGCCTTGCTGCCACATTATTAGTTCGATTATCAGGTTTTTTTTTCATTTGTTTAACTTCTTCCATTGTAATAGATAACTGTGATTCTAAATGTCTCATTTTCTGCTGAAGGCCGCGATTTTCATTTGTAAATCCATCCAACTATCAAAAAAACATTAATATTATAATAAGTCAGAATCTTTATAATGCTTGTCAAAAATTTTAAATACACTCTGTTTCTAATAATTGTAGGTTAATCTTGATGGCAAAAAAACCTTAGATTTCATCGATGATATCATTAGATCTTTCTCCTTTGATTCAGATTCAATCTTATATAGATTTTGCTTGGAGTTTTGAAGAGAATTTGTCAGTTCATAAATTTTCTTCTGTAATTCATTATCGTCCGATCGCCTAAAGAGTGATATTATTATTAAGGAAGAAAATGAATGATCTTAGGATCGATATATCCTATATAATGGAAATTTCAAATGTTATATCCTGGCAACAATGATATGATAAAATATTATTGAAAAGCAATCGTAGTAAATTTAGTCGAACTGATCTTTTGTAATTTGGATTGATTATAATCACATAAAAATTCAGAATATTAGCATAACTTACTCGTTTTTATCGAGATCAATACCAGATTCTTTTAACTTTTCCTTTCTAGAAGAAATTTCCCTTTCGTATTCACTTAATTCCTATGCATAATATATGAGTCATAAATCTGTTTAATTTGATATAAAAACTAAATTACTCTCTCTTCAACAATGCTGCGATAGATTTACATTAAATTTACACAATAAATAAACCTTGTCTCTTTCTTTTAACTCTATAGTTTTATCATGCCACATTTGATGCCGCCTGTTAAGATATTCTTCCATCTCAATAATCTTTAAAAATTGCGAATGTAAACAGACTAAATTAGTCTTCCTTAAGCTTAGATTGAAGTTATACTATGATGATAACATGACATGAAATATTAATTGTCGATATAATAGAGTCAGATTATATCAATTTTAAGTTTTAATAAGTTATTAAAGTGCAATAATTAGAAACTAATAATGTAATCCTATATAATTTGCTACGAATCAATACTGAAATTTACTGTGAAGGGCCGATAACATATTAAATTACCTCTTGTTCATAGTCTTTTGAATTCTGGGCTCGTCGTTCCAAATCACCCTCTAGCAATTTTAATCTATCTTCCTTTGCTTGGTAACTTTGACGTTTTTTATTTAAATTCAATTCAGCTTGTAGCTCAGCAAGTTCAGACTCTATTTGTTGCCTAAATAAAATGCAATAAAGCCAGTAAAACATTTTATATACCCTTTTCATAAATCGAAATTTGTAATGAGGAAAGAGTTAAACTATTGCAGAAATTACACACTATGAGTCTACTGTCAGGTTTGTCCTCCTTGACTTTAACCTACACTAAGACTCTAAATACTGACGATCTCCTATGGTCAGGAGGAACAGCAACACAACGCTAGTCTCTCTTAAACATAACTGAACCCAAATTTTCTTGAAAAGTCAGTCAATTTATAGTGCATCGATATAAACATTAATTATCACTTTATCACTTTATAGATAATACTATAAAATATATATTTATCTATTATAATATGTAAAACGTCATAGATAACGGTGTGTAAATACGTTTCTAGATAAATTGTCTTATGGAATCCATGTTACGACAGCTGCGCAAAAATTACTCCATAATAACCCTATACAGCCTATAATGATTTACCTTTGTTCATAAGCTAAAGCGTCAAGTTCTTCAGATTCCAGTAAAAATAGTTCTCTTCTATCATCTAATTCTTGTTTCATTGCTCTAAGCTATTTACATTATAAATATTAATCTTATATAAACTTTTTATCAAGAAAATTTTGTAGAAAGAAAAGGTAGAGTTTATTGAGCATGTTAAGAAAACTCACCTCTCTTTGGCACTTTTCTTGAAATATCTCTAATTGTTTTTTAAGCTTTTCCTTTTCTTCTGCTATCATAGCTTTAAAAGTAGAAAGTGGTGTATTCCTATCTTTGATAGCCTAATAATTAGGATATAAACACATAGTTTACATGTTACAGCTAAAATTATAGAAGTTGATGTACTGTAGATTACTGTATGTGAATATCACGACTTCGATTGCTTATATGATTGATGATTTATATAGATGTTTATCTACCTCATTGAATTTATCTTCTTCTATTTCTAATGTCTGAACATCTCCAATATCACCGTTCTGTTGAAAGGCATCATCATACTCCTCCTGTTGAATGCCATCTTGATTGAAACTGTTTTCCTCGTTAGTTATATCTCCATTCTCTTCATATATATAATCTTCATTGTGGATTTCATGTTCTTCAATATGTGTGACATCAAAGTAGACACGTTTCTTCGATTTCATATTTAAATTGGTGCTAGAAACATCAGTATCGTTTCCAAATTTCTATTACAAGCAAACAGGAATTTCCATTAGCAAACATAAAAAGTAAAATTGCTTAACAGCGTTTGTCTTTTCAATTATGCTGCGTTTAAGTTAACTTCATAACTTAAATATAACCTAAAACAATAGTAGACTTCTCGCACACTTCCAAGATCGAATATTTATGTATAAACGGGTACAAATGCTTTCACTGTAAGTAGCACTAATGCATTACTAATCTCTATGACTGATATTCTAAATATTATGTGACAGTTAAAAAAAAGCTTATAATTCTTCTATACCATACAGCTATGCAGAGCAGAGTAATATAACGATATAAAATCTATATATAACCTTTTAGTATTCAAGGAAATCGATCCTTTGGATTTCTACTATATATAAGCTTTATAAATGTAACTATTGTGTGATACAAAAACAATAAGGCCTTGATAAAATCTGCGAGTTCGACGACATTGTAATCTATTATTTCAACTAGCGTGGGGTTTTATAATTCAATATAGCCAAGTTATTAATTGACATTTTTATAAAGGAGAAGCACTACAATCAATTTCATTTAAAATTATTAAGGAAATTACTAATAACATATCTTTCTTAAAAGTTGACTATTCATTACCGAGTAGCGGATTAGAGGCCAATGTAAACTAACTGATAAATACTGTCTCGTTTAAAATTTGGTCATTTGAATATATTAACAAAGTAGATGAGTTAAGTTGAAAAAGTTAACCAAATAAATCAAAAAATTTTTATTGCCTACGATATACAGATTGCAAGTTCTTTGTGTTATATGCCAAATAGGTTATGTAGGTCATATTTGATATCAATAAGTAATGTTGCAACTCAAGATCAACACTAGAAAATTTAAGACAAATACGCTGCAGAATAATAACTGATAATAACGAATTCCTATGAGCAAGATTTGTAAATTCCTAAACGTTATGGTATTATGAGATGATTTGGATATTAACTAATTTAACTGTAGGCCACTGAATATTCAGAAATTCTGTAACGTATAGCATTAGGACAAATAGCTTGATTTCAAATCTATCACTTATGCAAGGAAATAGTAATAACATTGTTGCGATTAACCGTTTCCATGTTTTTCTGGTGATTTTTTTAACGCTAATAATTATCGGGATATTTTAGCTTCAACTCGATATGTTTAGTAACGGCTTTATTCCAAGCAAGCAATGTATTTAAATATTGCTATTCGTCAACTTCTTATCGGAGGTTCGGCGTTGCTGGACGTCATGGTGTCATCAATAAGTTTTATTTGCCTATTTTAGATTATATTATACGTAATACTGCAGTCGAGGTTCGTCATTATTACGACGATTTATTGTTATAATGTCATAATTATATTTAAAAGAAATAGAAAGCAAGAGAGTTGTATAAAAATTACATTGCAAATCATGTCTGTACAACGGTCTTCTTGTATCGGACAACAATCAAGTTTAGACATTGTTTACGCTTATTTATAATGGTAATAAATATGATGTAGAATCTGTCGTATAAACGGACATAGTATGAAGTGAATTATCTTAGTCATTTATAGGTAGGCAAAATTAGTGTTAATTTATGGTTTTGCTGAGAATAAATTGTGATTTAATCGCTTCCTCTATGAAGAACTTGCCTTGACTTGTTGGTAAGTAGTAGTTAATTAAAGTTACGATCGACGATCTGCAGTTTCTATCCTTATCAGCTTACCTTCAAAATTGATTTCTTGAGTATACTGGTCTTAGGAAGTGGCTTAAAATCAATTGTATCCTGTATAATATCAGATTGAGATGTTATGCAAATTATAAAATAGCAAGATATACAGATATAAGAGTAGCGATTGAATCACGGCAATTGCATCGACGTCTAGGTGAAGTGCTACACCAACAAGAGTGTACGTATTCTTATGCAGTGATTTCCTACCTCTCCCAATCCATGTAGCGTATTACTTGCAATATCTGAAGTCATGTCTAAATTTAAGCCATGATCATATAATTTAGTTGCCATAGCTATGCTAATTCAATCTTTTAAAGCGCTTGCAACTTGATTGCAAGTTGCATGCTAAAGCAACAACATCAAAGGCACGTAAGTTAGACGCTTGCTTGTTGACAGCTTACTGCTATAGTGTAATAGATATATGCCTTGATCAGATATTCATTGTATAGGTATTTATGTCGATAGACGATGGATTGTTGCTTTTTCCAATACTACCAATATATAGTCATAACATTTTAGTTTGGATTGCATTCTTAGTGCAATCAAATCCGTAGCAATGACAACGGGTCACGTGGTATGACGTCCTTAGAGATAACAGATAATACGTCATCGGGGCAACGCCATTGGATTCTATGGACAGTATCCATCCTGCACAGCATGATTCGTTATAGTTCAGTGAGGGCATGGCATGACAGAGAATTGTATGCATACGAGAGTGCAGTATCGACATTGCAAGTATGGCTACCTACTGTACAAGTATGAATCATAACTAACTATTATAATGTAATTAATGGAAGAAATAATTGTGGCTAAACCACAGATTGTTATGAAAATCTGTACACCGTAGATTGTATTTTACAGTGAGTTAGCGGCAATGACTTCGTTCCCTAACAACGGTCTGCAATATGGCTACTAGTAACACAATATTGGCTCGGAGAAGCAACAATCAATGCAATATTATTGACGCTTTAGAAACTATCCGTCCATCCGTCCTACCGTATACTGACAAGAACTACTCAACAACTGCCCAATGCCCATACAGTAGAGTCCAATGGCGTTGTCTCCGTGCAAGTCCTCTAACCACAGTACCGTGCGGTACTGTACGGTACTGTAAGTCTTTCCATTTTACAGAGCATTTATAGAGCCTGTACAGTGTACAGTACAGTATAAGAATAAAGTACTGTAGAGATTGTTGTGTAACCTGTACTGTACTGTACTGTACTGTACAGTACACTATACAGTGTACAGTACAGTACCACATGAATCTGTTTTACTCGGTGTATCATGGACTGACTGATGGACTACTAGAAGAAAAAGATCATTGGACGGACAGATATTTTCGGCCTCATCTCGTCCAAAAGGCAGTACTTTAGTATGCAGATAGTCGATTTTAAATGGACTCATGTTTTCTAAATGAAGTAATATTACATTGAATCTTATTATCTATTCAAAATTTCTACTTGAAAAAAGTAATATAAGATCGTAGACGCGATCGAAATGAATGCTGGTGATTTCGAAAATAGACATGGAAGATCCATACTAAGTACAGTACAGTAGTCATTTTTCGCTTGACAGCCTCATTGAGTACCAATAGTCCATCTGTCTGAAGTACAGTACACTATTGTACTGTACACTGTACACAGCGGGGTTAACATGGGACTGGAAAATAAGCCGTGTAGACTAAAGTAAGCCCAAAGTAGGCTACATCTTATATATTGATGTAGCCCAATAACTCGGGAATGTCAATCTGGCTTTCATTTCTATAGATTTGTTCTAATTTTTAAGTAAAATCTGTAAAAATTCTCAACAGTACTGTATTGTCATGGACTTTTCCATTTTCGTACTGTACAGTACACTAGTGTATTGTAACCCCACTAGAAGATACTATACTGATACGCATACAGACCTTGAAGATACGATACAGACCTATTGATTTTCGGCGATTGGCTACAGTACTGTATATGGTACAGTAGTGTACGTACAGTGTACAGTACAGTAAAAAGCGGACGAGAAAGCGCACTGTACTGTACTGTACAGTGTACTGTACAGTACGGTAGGGTAAAGACGGAGATGCAATCAGTACGATACAGCTCGAGCCAAGACAGTCCAGTACCGTACTGGACCAGTCCTCTTGGCAGAGCACTGTTCTGCTACACTCGGCAAAGGAGCTCCGCCATTAAATGCTTTCCTAAAACGCATTGTGCAATCGATCTAGTGCTTCAATTTCTTACTACCAGCATCACTGAATACAACATCAATCAATCAGGATCAGGTAGGACCACTGCACCAGTGCAATTCTGCTGTAAGATCGATGCATAACCAATACTAAATTCAAGTATTGGACAAAGAGTCCGTTTCATTTTCGTCATTGATCTAAACCAAACTTGTTGATGATGATGACATCTCAATACTTAAAGTGATTATATTAACCATCCATTTTAATAAACTAGAAAATGCCAACAGGAAATCGAGACAGCTCTCATTCTGTAAGGTAAATAGCGTCTTAATAAATCTTGTTTTAAACTTGCTGGATCTCACTTTAGTCGATGTAAAAACATGGCAACGTTGTTTTGTACCGTAATCGAATATCCAATATTCTCAATTTATTTTACAATTATTCCGATATTGAATAATCTTAATAAAAAGTGAATAATTGCTTCGTGTACTTACTTTAACGAAATATCCTTTTCATTTATTATTAATTTGTATTGACAGGTCTTCATCACGGCAATCGAAGTAAGTCCTCGGCTAACACACCAGCAAAATGACTGTATTTTGCTCGAGCTTCTATAGCAGTAATGCTTATCTTGAAAATATCATCATAATTGTGACAGCTAACCTAGATTCATTGCTTTACTTGGCAATGGCAATATTCTGTGTCGGTAATCTACTGTGCAGGCACATTATACTGTATATCTCATTGCACTAAAGCAACTGCTTGTACTGTAATAAACGCGATACGAGTAAATCAATTTGATATATTCATCTTAGCTGTAATATCTCTGCGACATATATTTTCTTTATCTTTCTAATCCTAATGACAGTAGACAAATGTCAGCACGTATCATGATTATCAAAATCAGTTATGAATAATTCTACACTAAGCAAATTTAAGTTCGATTACAGCGTCTAGAATACGGTACTCTAGTTGAAAATTATTTGATAATATCTATAAATTTTAATAATGTAACTTCCAATCTCCTATAGATCTGACCTTCTCTGCCGTATCAAATACCGAAATACACTCCCTGATATTCCATTTGATCCCAAATTTCTACGCTATCCGTTTGAAAATAATCGGTAAGTTCTATTTAAAATCTCTCTGCTGATGGACCGTCTACGTATGTATAGTACATTCTTTTATGCATCATATGTATGTAATAAAATTATCTTAACGTAAATCGCTGATTTACTGTAAAAGAAAAGGCAATACTGTTATACGACGACAATTATAATAATTGTATGTCATAAATGTTGAATAGATTGGTTAAAAGTAATCCTACACTATGAAAAGTTAATAACATCTTGCTTATTATCCTAGCGATAACATACCCAATTTACACTACTACCATTCATCCCTATCGTTGTGACATCAATAAACTATACCTTATGCTATTGATAGAAATTACTTAACCAGAATATTCTACATTTCATAGCTTTACAGATTATAATACTACCTCACTTGAAAGAGAACACAAGCATGAGTTGTTGACTGACACAGATGCCGGCGTTAAGAATGGTTTAATTGATCCTGACGCTTACATAATCGATGAAGACGGTTCGTTTGGATAACTGTAACACGGATAAATTTATAACCATAATCCCATTAATGAAGTATAAAACCTCCGCGGTAAACTGTTGTTAATGTGCCCAATTTATTTTCTTTGGGCCAATAATAGCGGAGTTAGACGATGCCGACAAAGCCTTGTTAGGGATAGAAGGATCAGCTTCCATGGATCGCAAGGGGTACGATTTATTAGATTTTAACTTTCGATTTACTATTTGTTTACTTTAGTTTACTTGGCGATGTATACCAAAGTGGTAATCGCACTTTAACGATCAGTAGCGCTGAGTTTTTTTATTATGTGGAGAATTTGACTTTTATTACTTATATTGTTATAATCGCACCAGGACTAGGCATTCGAGGACAGTATCGTGGATGCGTCGAAATGAGTACTTATCCAACGAAGGAGTACGAATGGCACAGAATCCCGATAAACCAGAAACAAAGTAATAAATATTTTCAACCATATTAATTTTATTATTATAATTACTGATTGCTGTTATAAAATGTATACTTCTTTAACAGAGTCGGTTATAGCGTCAGAAAATATGCTAAGAATTTGGAAAAGTATAAGGTAGCATGGATTACTTTATAAGATTAGAAACTACATAGCAAACATAATTAAATATTAAAACAAAAAAGAATGCATGTGGCATAGACCCTAATACACTAGTCGTTACGGTCAAAGAATAGTACAATGTGACTATATGGATTTTTTTTGTAACTCTTACAAAAGATCTATTTATGCAGATTTGTATAACAAACAGAATAGCGTAGATTGTGTTCAATGTTTCTGTAAAAGTTACAGCGATCCCAAAAATTCTGTTTTACTGTCTGCCGTCTCGTAATGAAATATTGATGGCTTTGATACAGGATAAAGAAAGTCAAATCAAAGCTATTGAGAAAACTTTTGAAGCCACCAAAAAGCCTGTAAGATATCTGAGACCGTCAGCTCTCTATTTCTTAGCTTTCGTTGTGCATACCACGGAGTGATTAAATTTTATATTTAACGCAGATTATAGATCATCCTACTAAACCTGGCGTTACTGCGAAGCGATCCTACCCTCTATTTCCCGACTTCGAGGTAATATTTCCTTGCAATAGCCAAACGGAATTTTATGCAGTGCTTCAATTCCTATGATGTTCACTCAACTTATGCTAAATATACACTTCTTATAAATGATTCTGATACGTAATTAATTTATTGTCCGTTTTTAAAATTGAATAGATGTGGAAGTACTCGCTTGCGCTTGTCACCTTTGATTCTGACCCCTCTAAATTAACTGATGGATCAAAATTAACTGAACAGCAAATGTCTAATTCTGTCATTAAGTACGATATATTACGATAACCTTTGGCTATTTCGTAAAAGCAATTATACTGTAGTATAAATACCGTAGATATTTCTAAATTTTTACTTTTCAACTGATATAACTCAGAGGTATGCAAGTAGATACTGGTAATCAATTTGTAGGATATTATACACCCATAGCCACTGATGCAAAAAAAAGGAAAGTATCTGAAAACCAAGATAGTGAGACATCTAGGTAATTTAGTAAGAGTCATTATATCGTCTTATTATATTATTCGACACTAAAATAAATCGTATTGTGTCCGTAGAAACTGTAGGGACTACAATCTTGCGAGAGAGTATAACTGGGTGGTAAAATCGCGCGATAGCGGCCGCGATGTAAGTAATGTAATAATGTTTGAATATTCTTGTACACTATTAACAACAGATGTATTATTACCCAAAAATATTTGCCCCTCATAAAGTCAACCGTTGATGCGTTTTCATGTGTAGGACACTTATATTTTCGAAAAAAGAGATGGGAAGGTATTTTATAACGAAGTAGATTGGAGGTAATACAATTAACACATGTATGTAATTGATGTAATACTCTCTAGGGATTAAGTCTGTCATTTTAATAAATTGTTTGAAAGGGTAAAATTGAGCAAACAGAGAGCAAATGTTAAAGGTGATAATGTGAATAACCGGCTTACTGTTGAATATCGTGATTTTAACGAGGAAGAATTGGCGAACCAGGTCGGTAAAAATTGGTGTGTAAGTGTTATATGTTGGTTGTGACATTAAATTAACTATCGCATTGGCTATTTTATATAGCAAGTAAAATTGTCGCAATTGGAGAATGTTGTAGTTGATGAAGAATCAGATGAAGAATCAGAAACTGATGAGAAAGCAGAAGCTGGAGCTAGCTTGCTAAGCGATCTTGCAACTTCAAGCTCTAGCTCGGACGAATAGTCTACATATAGCTAGATCAAGCAATAATTTGCATTATCCTAAAGATAACGTTCATTGCAAAAAATATTGTAAGGTTAATGAAAAAGAAAAATTTAAATATCATTAGCTACTAATAATATCAATGTAGACCTCCATACTGTAATGAATGGATACGGTATAAGAAAGATAATACCGTGTGAGGTTATACAATTCACTTCTGTATCTTATAATTTAATCCTTCCGTTTCCCATACAAGTTTTCGTGAACATGTTATTTGTTGAAAAATTACATTTAAGCGCCTTTGCGCTAATGCGTCATTTTGGGCGATAGCAATGGAAAGGTAAAAAATATTTGAAATCGAAACTGTAAATATAACACTTTGTGACACAGTGACGTTATCTTTCAAAAGATGCCGTAGTGCGGTATTTAAATTTTATTTAACAGAATTCCCATTTGAAAACCAAATAAAAATTGCAGCTACTTCTTCTATCTGCGCTTCCATGTAATACTGTTATAATGCGTTTGGTAATAGACATTGGCCAAATCCAACTAGCGCTAGCGATAATTTAACTTCATATGCATTATATACAACAGGATAGTGGATGACATGTGCAAATTTAATTACTTACAGTAATCTACATTATTAAAAGCTGACTATCTAAATTCATTTACGAGGAGAATCTAGTGTTTATTCTGCTGAACTATAGTACTTAAAATATCATTAGATTCTATATAAATAATAATTTTAGCGACATGAATCTTTTTCATTTCGAATTTTGTAAACTGATCCTAAATATGTGGAACCTGCGCTACATATGAACGTAACCTGAGAGCCACTGATAACTTTATTATCTTCTATTTTGATCCGTAGTGCATACATACTGTATAATTTCTTCAATTGCAAGGTGCGATATTGACCATGACACATTATGCTTTTTTAATTATAATAGAACTCTTGTTCTTCATATATCAATCTTTTGATGATTTAGAAGACTATGGTCTGATAAGCTAATAAACCGAACATATGTATTTACTATTTCATTGCGTGCGATAGCAAGTACTTCGCAGTGAAAATGTATACTAATAGTTATTTCTGTATTTTCATGATGTACACTATAATAACTAATCATTACAGCATTACTTTTGATTCATTTCAGCATCACCATAGACGTTATCTAATTTAACAAATTACCTCAATATTTTCATCTTAAAATTCCATGTTGTTGCAACTATCAACTTACAAGCTCGTTCATAAATGCTGAAAGTAGGCATAACTAACTACAGTTACGCCAGATTTACAATTTAACTATGGTCCTAAATAGTAATAGTGGTGAAATTAGGAAGATAAATATTCATAAAAGATCGCATATTGATCGATAACATGAAATTTTTAAATTTTATTGTTGCACTTATCCTTTTACTTAATAGCTGATATCATAGATTGGCAACATATTCAAAAGTAACCTATAATTAACACAATTGCAATAATACATAATCGATATTATTTATAACATCGGGAACGTTGATAGTCACAAAAGCCTTATCTTTAAACAATCATAATCCAAATTTTAATTTCAGCAAGATATACATAGGATAAATATGACCCTTGAAATTTAAGTATACATATTCAACTTATAGCAGAATATGTAGTATAATATTAGCTCTGAATTAGAGAGACAAATCTACCTATGTCTGACTCATCAATCCTTCGTAGTACTTTCTTAAATATAAATTTCGAGTTACAGTAGATTAAACTATCAGAAAGCCTTTGTCTTATTATTAATATTGTAAATTATCCCATCAGAACTGAAAATTTGGGGTTAATAAAGATTTGAAAACACATGCAGTGCGTTATTATTTCAGTCAGTGTCAAAATTTTAAGTTACGATACTAACTTATGGTATAAATGATTATGAAAGCCGTAGAGTCTAAATTGTTTAAATATTCAATATAAGATGTTCGAAATGTTTTAAGACACGATAATTATCATCTGTAATTATCTCATTATCTGAGTAATAAATATTATAGATCACTGCATAGCTTCGCTTACTTCTTTAATTATAGTTTGGCTTACACATCGCACCCCACAGAATTTAAATCACGATGTGAAAAATTTTCAACTCTTTCTACTAGGGAAACTTTTATATCTATCAGCATTTCAACTTATCACAGTATTAAAAGTAATTATTTTTCCAATAAGCCAAAACGTTCTCATGACCCCTAGGCCCTATAATAACGTAGAGAAATATTTATGTCATTAACGGAATAGAATATAAACAACGATTCTCAAGCAGCAGTATTTACAATTGTATAAAGCAAGCCCTTCTTCTGAGTAAAACAATCTATCTTACGTTTATGCAATTTAAAATCATCCAATTAAGTAAATCTACTGATCTTAATCTGACCTATTGGCGCCTATAATAAGTAACATCTATGATCGCTAACCTTTACGTTCATTTCTCCTCTCGGTTGGAAATCATAAATGCCATGATTAGATAAGATGTTATACGTGCTCTCACTACAGTGAATTTTGGAAGCTAAACAATGAATTTGATAACAATATCTTAGTTTAAGTAAATAACCACAATTTTTCTTTGTTAAAATTTCGATATGTAGTAACTATACCATCTCCTAATGATTCCATACGAGAAGCAATATTGACTGCATCTCCGAATAAGCAATAGCGTGGCATTTTCCTACCAACTACACCAGCTGCTACAGAACCTATTTAAAAGTACATTTTAAAAAAATAGATTTAGGTAGCTGAATACTTTTAATGCAATTTTTGATATAAAATAAGCTAACAATCTGATTGTGTAATTGACAGCAGCGCTGATTACATTATTTACAGTATGTATTTTTATTAGACATGATAATTTAAGTATCAAATATATTACTTAGGCGATAGTAACAATACTATCAAAAGTACACGTATGATTGCCTGTCGTTACAGTCAGCAAAGTATATGAAGAATTAAATACATGTACGAAGGGCACATACCGAAACTGTGCATACTATTTATATACTTATATAGTAATAATGCTACTACATTCCTAGCAGCATACTAAATAGAAAATTACATAGCCCAAGCCTATTCTAGCTTGAAATGCGACGATAAAGATAAGTAATCTCATATAGCACTCTCTCAACCTAGGTTGTGACAATATGAGATAATATAAAATAGGTAATCTTTTCCCTCTTTGATGCAGAAAATCAGTATTATGATTTGAAATTAAGTAGAATTACTCTTCTAATAATAGTTTCTGTACTACTCTAAGCGGTACAAGTCAGCTTTTTATCCTGTAGACAACTTTTTAATATATCTTTATAATCTATCTAATTATTAATTATCAGCTGAGTTACAAGCATGCATACTGCAATATATTTTTACCTGTGATAAAATACATTATATAAAATATACTATAGATCATTAAGATCAATAAGAAATAGATGCAATATTACGAATGATTATCAATAAACTAATATAGACAGTAGTTACTTAAAAATATGATGTGAATACCGAATAATATTTTGGAAATGTCTTAATTTAATATTTTAAAAACACCTTCTTAGTGTATTCTAAGATTACAAAATTCAGTCTAACAATAAATCAATAGGGCAAATTATACCAAATAAAATATGACCATTTAGGATATTTAATCTCTAGACTGTTATCAAAAAGATGATCGTAAATAATAAAGCATGTAATAATTTTGTTTTAAGTCACAGAAACATTATACATATTATGTATCTGCTATCACATTGCGTCTTATTACTTTACTCACTTTCTTATCCTATTATTATATCTGCAGTTCACAGTGTAAGTTATTAGTAAGCTAAATTAAATTAGATCTCATTTGGTGTTAGAAACTCTGTTACCATCTATAGTCTAGCTAATAACTGGAGTACCTTATTCCTAAATCAGGCATTGTAGTAAACACACTTTTAACAAATCTCTCCCATATAATAAGAATCGAACATTCATATCAGATCTATAATGATCAAGACTTTTCCACCTTTACATAGACATCTGCTTATTCTTTTAATATTTAAACATAATCACAACCAACGATGATATTCTTACCGTAAAACTAATTCTATATTATCAATTAATATGCAATCTATAAAAGGTTCAAATCTACTCTCCTAAATGGGGAATTGATTAAAAATTTTTAGTAAAAGTTTGATCAGTCACTTTAGCGCTACATACCTTTAAACTGTTTTTATATGTAGTGAGTTTAAAACAAAGCTTGTTATATTCTCTCAATTGTTAATAAAATAATTATAAACAGGTAAAGTGAAAAACATCACATTTATGATATTAAGATGTCTAAACTCAACGATAGTAAGAATTCAAAGTTGAAATTTGATTGATGTAAATAAGGATATTTATTAAAAGTTATAACTTTCTTGAAATGATTCCTATGATACTACGAAGGGTAAAATAAGGGAATGTCAGTAAATGTCTCCTGAGATGAGGAAGAAATTAAAGAAGGAAGGCGGTATCAGCGTAGGCTTAGCTCCGTTCATCTACTAGTAGACCATGCTAAATATTCTATGACTTGAATATTCCTATGACATCAAATCTGTTCTGTTATATCATATCAAAAAGCAATACCAGTTAAGAATAAAGATTTCCCTATTTACCATCAATTCCCAGAATATCGATCAGCCACTGCGTAATTCGGACAACAGAAATTCAATCATGTCAATTTAAAAATATCATTCGTCGATTCCATTTCATAATAACTACATTAATCGAATTGCTCCCTGACTAAATATAAACAGTTATTGTATCTATTGAATCCCTAACTATAAACAGGAAACTTTTCCGAAATAATAAAAATTTCATACAATTAATGTTATATTTTCTTATAACCTGATACCACTAGTAGAATAATGTCAAAATTTGGAAAAAATGTCATCAGATTAAATAATTAGACTTATAAAAGAATATACTACAAATAATTAATGTGCTTTTGACCCTTGACCTACACTACGCAACTAGAAAATGATGTCAAAACTGAATACGACAGTTGATTTAATCTTATCAAAATTTAATATAGCATAACAATAAGTCAATTTAGGTAATACTGAAATATTTTTAATTAAATATACTATTCAATAGGTTACTTTACAAGGATGATAAAATTAATTACTGTACCAGAATGAATCCCAGAGCGTAACTGTATCTTGATTTCGGGTTTATGTGGCGCTCTTAAGTCTTTCATTACATCTAAAAGATCGATAGCCATGTTGGCAATCTCTGCAGCATGTCGATTCCCTGACAAGCGACTGGGTACTCCTGATACAACCATATAATCATCGCCAATAGTTTCCACTTTATAGACATTGTATTTTTCAATTTGACTATCAAAATTGATGTAAATATAATTAAGCATATTGACTACCTCGAGAGCAGTACTATGATGGCAAATATTAGTAAAGCCAACTATATCACTAAAGTAGAGTGTAACATTATCGTAAGATTCTGCAATAACGTGGTTACCACGTTTTAATTGATCAGCAACTGATCTTGGTAACATTTCACATAGTAAATTATCAGTTTTTCGTCTTTCTCGTTCAAGTTTGCGCGTTTTATCAGCCAAATTAATGGCGTATGACTGTATATGATTTAATAATTTTGATATAAAATAAATTAAAAGCGGGCATACAATCGCAACCACAATCAACAATATTAGAGACATGACAAAATTAACGTAAGCAGCATTGCCAATTCTTATCGATGCAGCTTGAATGTAATATGCAGTTAGATCTTGAATTGTTTTGAGTTGGTCAATATACATTGTAATATTTTCAAACCAGTAAGAGGCATATGTAACTGATGGCTGATGATATGTATTAGCAATAATATCTTTGCGTAGCATTTGCAATTGATCATATACACTAGCATTTAATACGTAGACCTTATAGAGATTATCGAGATAAGTTGAATATTGACGTGAAGAGTTAATACTCATTTGTCCACGCTGTAATCTAGAATAATAATGGAGAATTTGTAAATGACTTAGTTGTGATTGTGAAAAATAGACACCACCAAGAGCGCGTTCAATCCCAGTTTCTTCTTTACCGCTTAAAAACAACTGATATGAGACTAAATTATTCCATAAAATTTCTGTCCTTGCATTGCGTAATCGCCTAGATATCCAATTTAAAATTTCTCTGTTGACATCAGAATAAAATTTTAGTTCACTATCAATGGTTGTGTTTGCCATATCAACAACTGAATCACGATGAGCATCTAAATAATTACGTAAACTAGTACTATTGGATAAATAGCTAGATGTCGAGTCATTTATCGGCCATGGATCGACCTCTTTGATGGCGTTGTTCGTTTCTAATCGGCGTTTAACGACATTGACAAACACTATTTTATCATACTTTGAGCTAACTAGAAGTACTGTCTGTCCACGTTCGATCTGTAAGTAGTGAATTAAATTTCCTAATTTGATACTAGCAATAATTTCATTACTCAGTTCGGTAGTCTTTCTATATTCAGTGGCATCGGCAAGTAAGGTAATAATCGTGCTAACAGCAAGGCCAATACATGGTATCAAAATCAATATACATATTTTAAACATTTGTATTCGTCGGCTACTGTCGTGACCAGGATCATCTCTTAACCAGCATCGATTTTTGCCAAGAGTAGTTGGAATGTAATTGATATTATCACTATCACTCTCTCCAGGACTAACACTAAAAAATTCGGCATATTTGCTTGGAGAAGCACCAACGGCTCTTTCTTGACGATCACAACGATTTTCGGCTTGCATTGCAAAATTGCTTTCTCTTGGTTGCGAGTACGTTTTAGATTTCTTTTTCTTGTTCGTGTGTGTTCTCTCTCCTATTATTACGTTTTTGTTTTCTTTAATTGCATTTAACAATTAAATTTAGGCTCTATATATTTTTCGAAGTTAATGGTAAAATAATAAAAAATCAATCATGATTCAAAGAAATGGGTTGGAAGACAAACATACAAGTTAATGCCTACTGCAACAAATCATGTTAACATAATTTTGTTGATGCCTATTCCATTTCGTATATGATTAATGCCCCAATCTATCATCTTACCTTATTTCTATCGTAAATCATTAATATACTCTTCTAATATAATCAATTAGCAAGATAGATGCAGCCAGCAATAAACGATAAACACCGCACTAAACGATATGCCACAACTTTAATAATGACGTTTATTGTTTACTGTAGCGTTTGCCAAGAAATTTTATGTCACTGATTGTTAATGACAATAAAAATAAATAATTATAAGACCAATCGGATATCAAAATCATTTACTAAATATAGTAAAGAACTAATCAACAAACATAGATATTCATTGACAGAAAAATTTCAAGTAAATGAAGATAATTAATGCTCATCTCTAATAAGCTTATATTTCTGTGAAATAATGTTGAGGATAGCGAAAAATAGTAAAAGAAGGAATTATAAAGTATTTGACGCCGATTTTTTAATTATAGACTTATTAAGTTTTATTTTCCGGTAATATCAGGGATAGTGCCAATTACTAGGTAAAGGTAATTCAAAATTCTATGATTGAATTGTAATGTTGCATTTAAATACAAACACATCAGAACATGGCCGAAGAAGCTTCTAGCACTGTCAACTTCTCTCTTAAATATTGGATAAACTTGCCGGCAAAAAGAGCTCGAAAGGTATTCGCCTAGTCCTATTTATTATATCTAGATAATTTTCTATCAAGATAGATAATATTTACCCCCTTTTTTACCTAACAGACCAACTATAAATTGTTTTAGGTACCCTATAAAAATAATTGGAAACTCTTAACCTAACTTCCGATAAATAAAATGATTAAAGCTATACATACTTGACTATCATTAAATCATGCCTATTCACCAATTTCATAAAGCCATTGATGGTATTCATTAACCGAGTCAATACGAAATCTTCTACTTGCTATTTCCTTATTTCAAATGCTACAGAGATTACCAATGTGCCATGCATCAAGACTAATTCTATAACGGCTATTCTTATTACTACGTCTTTGGTTTAATTGAATTGATCTAATTGCGCAATCAAGTTAATTTCCGTAATTCTCAAAGTCATAAAACTGGAGGATTAAAACTTTGAAGTTTTAAATTGTATAATACTAATGCCGGAATCTTGCTGTCGAATGTCATAAAGGAACAATTGACAGAATCAACACATATAGCATTCATTTAAGAATCTTAAAATTTAAAGCCACTACTTTCTATACTGAAACAAAAATATTACTTCAGTTGAATACTTAATTTAATTTATTAGGTAGTCACAAAGTCGTCATTGACGATAATTATAAATCTCCCTCTTTTGATATTAAATCACCAAATTTAGACGTCGCAAAAGTGGATAGTGTTATAAAACTTAGCTTTCAATCAATATGTATAGCGTGATAAATTTGTAGTCATAAATGAATACCTTGCCAAAATAGTGTAGTAAACTGAAGTATTAGCCGATTGATCAATTGGTTGATTGTTATTTTTCTTTTATATAATTGGCTATAGAAATTAAAAACATCAAAACTAGACAACATTTGAATTCTTATTGTTTGCCACCAAATGTCAATTATTGTGGCATGTAATTACGCCTTCATAGCACAGAATCAAGAATAATATATTGCATATTATTAATTAATTTCTTAATCGTTTAAACTTGATATCGCATCACAATACCATGTAATTAGCAATATTCTGTTTGTGCTGAATAAAATTTTTAAGTCATATAATCGTAAAGTTTTCGTCTTGATATGAAACAGAGTAACTGTTATCAATAGTATAACTTAAATGGTTAAATTGGCCTGTAATGTAACTAGTATTGTGATTGTAGAGTGTTAGCCATGTTTAGTATAATGTACGGTAGATATTTATCCTAAGAGGTATTTGGTAGCTATAACTATAGACTGTAGTGGTATAGATTCTATGCTAGAGTACAGATGACTATATACAGTAAGGTGTTGAGTTACTAATAAGGCTATAGGTAAAAATAGAACTGTAAATCATATATTAGGATATGGTTAATTCATTGTACTTTGGCTGGTGTGAATAATGTCTACGTAAGTACTGTAGTCGTATCCATATTGGATTAATGATGGTCCGCAGTAGAATAGTCTTACTAAGAATAATTTAACTATGTGTAAAATAAGGTAAAAGGTTGCCATGCGGATTGTAGCTGTGAATGCAACGGAAAGTATAAAAGCATGCAACTTTAGATTATTCTGTTAGTTCGTTCTAGAAGTCTTTAGTAGTAGTATTCGGCTAGAATAGAGCTGTGTGTAGTCAATCTTTGTATAAGATTAAATAAAGCCCTTATTTTTCTAAAATTTGGAATTTCGTGATTGGTATATATCACATGGCCATAGTCTCGAACGCTTAATGGTTGTAGTTTCACGCTATTAAAACCTCTGCTCTAGCATTCATTTCTGTAATTATAAGGCTCTAGAAATCGTGTTATTATATAATACAGTCATTGATGATATCAAGCCCCTCTTAGAAAGATTAAAATCATAGCTTGCATGCATATTTTGCATTTAAATTTGATGAATACTACTAATATTAAAATTAATGGCCTCATTTCCTTACTTTTCATATCGGTGCTTATAAAATTAGTCGATGATACTTTAATTTTAAATTTTAACTCCTATTTCTTCATTAGTGATGGTTTCGCGCAGATATATTATCAAAATTCTAGTATGACTTTAGTCTTGAGATAGACTTACTGACAACAATTTTGATTTAGAAAGACATACTATTCCAGTAAGAAGAGAAACTGTTGGTACTTGAAGTTGCACTACAAGCGTATACCGGGCTACATATTTGTTATATTATCTTTCTATCATTTTTACAGTACATTCGATTTACAAAATTCTAAAATATATAGTAACCGACATTATCATTATAAAATCATCAAGCCACGCTTTCATTGAACAGAAATAATAATTTATCAATTATATTTTAATCATTGCACCTACGGGAGTAAACAATATACTCTATTACGCTATCACTATTTAACCTAGGACAATTGCTTACACATAAAAATGGATCAAAGGGTACGAATTACGCAATTACGCGATTTACGTAAACATTGCTATTTCACATTTTATGACATAATACTATCATAATAATGCTCTTTCATGATGAAACAGTTTAACGATCTACTAGCCTATTTCTGCTATTCAGACATACAATGATTTTTAAATCGCCTGGTAATAAAACTAAAACATCATCCTAATGCTGCTATGATTTTCTAGCACCGTATTATAGCCTCGTTATCGAAATATACTATTATTCTTACGTATCCCTCCGTTCTGATTACGGACAGATATATGATTTATGTTACAGTAAAAGAATTAAGTTAATCATTCGGGAATATAAAGGAAAATTGCAATCATGGAATAAATTCTATATTATATTTTTAATGCCATTCCAAAAATTTCATATTACCGAAATAAAAGTAATTCCAATAAATAGAACTTCTAGATAGGACATTAATTCAATATTTTAACCATGAAAAGAGAAAAGGAAGCTTTTTCCGGCCTCTTTGATTTTAATAAATAACCGGGGTAAGGAATTACGGTCTATAATCGATATTTTTAGACTAAATCCATAGTCTGATCGCTTTCTAAAATCAGGAATTAGCATTTTTTCCGCCGATGTAGCATATGTATCGGCGTGATATAAAAAAAATTATCTTCATTCGAGCCATATCGAACATTCCCGCACCTTCAAGGACGTTTCTATATTCAAAGACAAGGAATCCCTTCAATATAAGCTATGATAGTCTAGCAGAGCGTGTTATATCGAAAAAATGATGGTATGTACGAATATTATCAATTTCTCCAGAATTTACAGAATCATTCAATTTTGTTAGTTTGAATTCTTTCAATAATCTTATTCTCATTTAAGTGATTCAATATCTATGCCAATTTACCATAGCATTTTACGATTATATGAAATTGGCAATATCTACTGTTTATCTTTAAATACGATCCTGTATGAAATATCGAAACATTCCATACGCCTGTTAACTAATCAAGAATCAATATTAAGACATCCTGAAAAAATATATATCCTGTTAACAGGCGCTAATCTACCGTTGATTAACATAAAGCTGCCCTTATGTAAAATATATTTCTTGGTAAAAAGCTAATGTAATCTCTACCAAATAGCATCAATACAGTGATTGTAATCTTTCCAACTTTAATTAAATCTAAATACCCACGGTTGTCCAAACTTTGTTTTCAGTGACTGTGATATCAATTACCAATAGATTTTCCGAGTCTAAACGAACATTTATCACCCTTATCACTTCTATTTAAGAGAAATAACGATCGAATAGTTTTAAATGGCTATATTTGAGCATTCCTATGTAAATTAAGATTTCTAAGCCTTCTAAATATTCGTTTTATTATTTAGATTTGAAATTAGGACTTTACAAACAATTTAAGTCTTATATTACTGTATGCCCTTAATTGATTTATTGTATAACTTTTAAATCTAGCTAAAGTATCTGCGTCAAGTTGAAAATGAATGGACCTCAAGATCATCAATGACATGCAAACATCATGTAGATAATGTTATTACAATCAAATGACTCAATTATTCGAATATTGTTCTCTCGAACGAATAGCTGACCTTAACAAAGATCAAAAAGGTATATTTGTCAAATTTCAATCAATTATCTCTAAGGACGTCAATTTCTAAAAGAAAGCAAACCCAATTATCATAAAAGAAATCCATAAAACAAATGATTATGTGAT